TGGGATAATGGGCCGCTCCATTATGTTAACTTCTTACTTTTATGACTGGCAAATAATCTATAGGGTGATACTGTGGCAATATGTGGATATTCAGCTCCTACTTAACCTTTTACCTAATAGGTTTAGTATTGGTGGTCTCTAATTGATTTATGTCATAAAGGGTTGCAAAATGGTTACTAATTCTAGAAGATGAATTATGGTGCTAATGAACATTTGGATACAACTTTTTGTGTGAACATGTTTTCAATTCTCTCGGGTATATAGAGAGGAGAATTGCTGAGACATATGGCAACTCTAAGTTTAACATTTCAAGAACCCCCCAGACCGTTTTACAAAGCAGCTTCCATTTTACATTTCCACCAGCAGTATATGAAAATTCTAGTTGCTCCACATACTTGCCAACACTTGGTATGGTCAGTCTTTTCAGGTATAGTCATTCTAGTGGGTGTAAAGTGGTATCTCATTGGGGTTTTGATTTGCATTTCCCTAATGACTAAAGATGTTGAACATCTTGTCAAGTTTTTGTTAGTCAACTATATACCTTCTTTGGTGAAATATCTATACAAATCCTTTGCCCATTTTAAAATTGGGTTGCCTTATCAATTGATGGATAAGGAAGATGTGGTGTGTGCATGTGCGCGCACGCACACACACACACACACACACACACAGGAATATTACTCACCCATCAAAAAGAATGAAATCTTGCCATTTGCAAAATAAATCAGTCAGGGAAAGACACATACCATATGAGTTCATTCATATGTGGAATTTAGAAAACAAAACAGATGTATAAGAAGGGGGGAAAAAGAGAGAGAAGGAAGCAAACCATAAGAGATTTGTTTTCTTTTTTAAGTTTATGTATTTTGAGAGGGGGGGTCAAGGGGCAGAGAGAGAGGGAAAGAGAATCCCAAGCAGGCTCCATGCTGTCAGTGTGGAACATGATGGTGGGCTAGATTCCATGATCCATGATAACATGACCTGAGCCTAAACCAAGAGTCAGATGCTTAACCAACTAAGCCACCCAGGCACGCCAAGAGACTTTCAATGATAGCGAACTGAGGGTTGACAGAGGGAGATGGGTAGGAGGGTGGGCTAAATGGGTCATGGGTATTGAGGGCACTTGTTATGATGAGCAATAGGTGTTATACGTAAGTGATGAATCACCAAATTCTCCTGAAATCAATATTACACTATGTTAACCAACTAGAATTTAAATGAAAATTCAGAAGAAAAATAAAATAAAATGAAATAGGATTTTCTTTTTATTGTTAAGTATTTCATATTTTGCATATAAGCCCTCTATCACATATGATTTGCAAACATTTTCTCCCATTCTGTGGGTTGTTTTTTCACTTTCTTGACGTTATTCCTTGACATTTAAGTTTCCAATTTTGATTAAGTCCAAGTTACCCATTTTTTTCTTATGCCATTTGTGCTTTTGATGTCGTATCTAAAGCTTTGTGTAACCTAAGGTCACAAAGATTTACTTCTGCTTCTTTCTCAGTTTTAGGTCTTAGCTCTTTTATTTAGTTAAATATTGGTACATGATGTAAATTAAGGTCTAGCTTACTTCTTTTTTGGATATGGATAGCCAGTTGTCCCAGCACTGTTTGTTAAAAAGACCATTCTTTCCCCAGTGAATTGTCTTGGCATCCTTGTCAGGAATCAATGAACTATAAGAGTTTATTTCTGGACTCTCAATTCTATTGCATTGAATTATATATTCCACTTTATGTCTGTACTTTGTCTTAATTACTGTAGCTTTGTAGTAAGTTTTAAAAAGTAAGCTCTCAGGGCACCTGAGTGGTTCAGTCAGTTGGGCATCTGACTTTGGCTCAGGTCATGATCTGGCAGTCATGAGTTCAAGCCCCACATCAGACTCTGTGCTGCCAGCTCAGGGAGCCTGCTTCAGCTTCTGTGTCTCCCTGTTTCTCTGCCCCTCTCCTACTCACACTCTGTCTCTCAAAAATAAATAAAACATTAAAAAATAAATAAAATGTAAGTCCTCCAACAATGTTCTTCTTGTAAAAGATTAACTATTCTGGGTCTCTTGTATTTCCAAATAAATTTTAGGATCAGCGTGTCAGTTTTTGCAAAAAACACAGTTGGGATTTTGAAAGGGATTGCATTGAATTTGTAGACCAATTGGAGAGTATTGCTATCTTAACAATATTGTCTTCCAATTTATAAATATGGGATGTCTTTTATTTATGTTAGGTCTGTTTAAATTTCTTTCAACAATGCTTTGTAGTTTTTAATGTGCAGTCTAGCACTTCTTTGGTTAAAATTAATCCTAAGCATTTTTTGGTGCTATTATAAATGAAATTGTTTGCTTGTTTATTTATTTATTTATTTATAGACAGCACAAATGGAGGAGGGGCAGAGAAAGAGGGAGAGAGAGAATCTCAGGCAGGCTCCACACTGTCAGCACAGAGCCCGATGCAGGGTTCAAACTTACCAACTGGGAGATCATGACCTGAATCAAAACCAAGAGTTGGACACTTAACAGAGCCACCCAGGCGCTCTGAAATTATTTTCTTAACTGCATTTTAAGATTGTTAATTGCTAGTGTATAGCAATACAGTTGATTTTGTATACTGATGTTATACCCTATAACCTTGCTAAACTCATTTAGCTTTTTGTGTGTTTGTATTCCTTAGAATTTTCTACATACAAGATCATGTCACCTGAAAACAGAAAACTGTTTTACCTCTTCCTGTCCAATCTGGATGCTTTTTCTTTTTCTTGCCTAAGAGCCCTCACCAGAACCTTCAATACAATTGGATGTTACACCAGCACTGCATTCCTGGTATAAATCCTACTTGGTCATAGTGTGTAATTGCTTTTATGTTGCTAGATTCAGTTTACAGAATAAAGTGAAGAGTGGATCTAGAGGGGCAAACAAAAGATACCCAACATAGTTACCAAAGACAGTGATATAGTCAGGACCACCAATCCAGTGTTCTTTTTCCACTAGCAAAGTAATCCATGAATGTACAATTTGATGAGTGTAGTGAGAAATATATAAAAATATAAAGATATGGTCTCTTAGCCTCCAAATATGTACAAAATTGTTCAGAAGAAACATACATATGAAATAAGTAGTAAATATTTAAGAACAGGATTAAAGTGGAGAAAAATAAAATCAAGGTAGGAATTATCTTATGCTTCTTTTATATTTACATAGTGGAAGGCAAAGTGTTAGCTTTAATACTCAATGCCTAGCTTCCTGGGAGGGCTTTTAAACCATCAAAGACTGACACTAGAAAGCTAGGCTATAAGAAAAGAACTAACACTTAATGGGTACTCATTATGTATTTGGTGCTTTAATATATTACTAAACCAGGAGCCATGGTTATTATTCTTGACTTACGAGTGAGGGAATTAAAGTTCAAGAAATTAACTTTCTCATGCTTAAATTGGGAACTAGGATATCCCAGGTATGTCTGGTTTGCCCAGGAGTATTGCTCTCTATACCACATCCACATATCAGAAGCCTCTTAAAGTAGAAGACCTGAAGGTTAGTAGGCTAGCATTCAAGTCTCATACACAACATTAATTTGTTATTAAAGTTTGAGCAATTCACACTATCTCTCACATCCCTAGTTAATCTGTACTAAAAAGAAAATAAAGGTGATAACATGGCCTGCTGCTGTGTCTGGAAGATCATAAAGAGAAGTCCAAGCATGAGGGAGGGTTGGCCCAAAACCCCAAACATGATTTTATGTGTATGTATATGTGATACTTACATATCTGTATCTGTATTCAAAGCCAATAATGAAAACTATTTTTTGAAATATTTATTATCTTTGCTAATAATCTGAACAAGAAAAGAAACAGGTTATTGTTGATTTTTAAATAGTTTGCCTCTCGAGGAACTTGACGGAGGACCAAGGGGGAGAAGAAGGGCGGAAATGGTGGGGGAAAGGGAGAGAGGCAAACCATGAGAGACTCTTGAATGCTGACAAAAACTGAGGACTGATGGATGTGGGGGGGAGGGGGGGATGGGCATGAAGGAGGGCACTTTGGGGATGAGCACTGAGTGTTATGTAGAAACTAATTTGACAATAAACTATTTGTAAAAAAATAAAAAAATAAAAAAATAAATAGTTTGCCTCTCATTTTTCATAAATTACTCAGCAAATATTCTACCTTGAAATTAAACCTGAAGAAGTTTAAATAACCTTTAAATAAAGGCAAAACTCTTGCTATACACATTCATTAGTACCCAAATCTGTGGGCACTATTCATAAAGGCTATACTAACTAGCTTTCTGATGAAGGGCAAGCTCTTTATATTATGCTTCAGTTACTCTCCTAAAGTAGAAACAACAGCTCTGTTTATTTTTGAGAGAGAGAAGCACAGCATAAGTGGGGGAGGTAGGAGAGAGAGGGAGACACATAATCCGAAGCAGGCTCAAGGCTCTGAGCTCTTGGCACAGAGCCCAACGTGGGGCTCAAACTCATGAACTGTGAGATCAGGACCTGGGCCAAAGTCGGATGCTCAACCAACTGAGCCACCCAGGTGACCCTAAAATGAGATTATTTATGAAAGTGACAGATAAAGCTAATGATGAAATTCACCATTTGGGACCTGCTTACAGGAGAAGCATCTTTCATCACTAGAATCCATTCTCCTTATCTGTGGCATCAGTTAAAAGAAATAGTTATTTTGCTAACTTCTACAACTTCCCAATTTTTACTATAGGTCTTTGTAAATTGTTAGATGAACCTTATTGTTACATCATTTTTCTATCTGGGAACAGAGGCAGAAGTAACCTGGTAAACACTAGAGATCACTTCTGCCTTTGTAAGTCTGGAAACTTTTATATCCTGCTTCCCATGTCTGGAGATTTTCATGCTGTACCATTTTACTCTGTGTCCTTGGTTTCTTGCCCATCTAATGAGTACATAATAAAGAAAAAAAGAAAGAAAGAAAAAAAATCCCTTTTATATTTGGCTACAGACTGTATCCAGGATAAGAATAAAAGACTCTACTATTACAGAATGGACATTTTTATTTTACAAATGAAAAAGCAAAATACTGCTATTAAACTGACCCTGAAGTCACACTCTGAATTCATACTTTACAGTTCAACTTTCCCAGTTCATCAATTAATTCCACAAAACAGACTAAACCTCTGTTTTTGGAAGAAGCATAGACCACATTTAACCATGATAATGGAGATGGCTGGCAAGATTAGGCAAAGGAATTGATTGTAGCTCTGTTTGAATTCTTTGTCTTCTTGGAAACAGTCTTCATAGCCATGTGAGATTTAAAGACTGTGACTGTCCAGGCCAGAGCAGAAGGTTAAAGCTGTGTCATAGAGAATTACAGACTACTCTTTTACCTTCATCTTGTGATATCCATGTCTCTCAGAGAGGTCTGGCTAAACCAGAATATTCTTTGCAATAGCATTCAAAGTCCTCACTTGTGCCACATCTGTTACCTTTAGAGAGTATTCTGAGCTAGAAAGAGAGGCTCCCATGGCAACAGAGAAATTTCTGCAACAGAAATAATAAAAAGACAGATAATTATATAAGTTGTTAAACGAGCCCTCCTACTGGCACTTCATTTTATGGGCTATTTAATGGCTCAAGAAGACAGGAGGTCAAGAATCCTGGAATCACTATTTTTCGTAATTTTTATTAATTAATCACTTTAAACATGTAGTAGCCAAATCTACCTGATAGTATACTTGATTTTATATCTAGAAATGTAGTTTTGTTTTGTTCTGTTTTTTGAGAGAGAGAGAGCGCAAGCAGAGGAGGGCCAGAGAGAAAGAATACCAAGCAGGATCTACACTGTCAGTGCAGAGTCCAAGCTCACGAATCACGAGATCATGACCTGAGCTGAAATCAAGAGTTGGATGTTTTAAACATCTGAGTCACCCAGGTGCCCCTCTAGAAATGTAGAGGGCTCTTGCTTCTTTATATCTCATTTTCCCCAATTCTAAATAGAAACAATCATCTACTCAACTATTTAATTATGTGAATCTTCCAAAGTATAATGAAAAACTCACAATAGCTTAAATTTCTTAATGGTGGTATAATTTCAAAATAACTAAAATAGAGAACAAAGGTGAGGGAAGAATGACTAAGAATTAAAGGTAGGAGTGATAAAAATGACTATGACTCTTCCATCCTTATACCATAGTTTTTAATTTCACTAACGGAAATCATAGTTGAATGGGCATATGTACATATCTGACTCATTTGAAGCTTCGCTGCTGAATTAGAGTTTATTATTACCTAGTCTAAATTTAGCAATGACTTAAAAATATAAAGGTTCACTTAAGTTCAGAAGAACCTGCTTATCTGAGGCAGGATAAAATCATGTGCAGTTGAAAAACTACAAGAATGATACAATACTTATGTATTAATCACAACATTCCATTCATTAATAATATCATCAACCAAGGTCTTCCTATATCAGGAAATAAAGATTAATCCATCCCTTCTTATATGAATCAAAGAATATATTTTTACCGAAACTTCATTCCTGAATCTCTAGCAGACCGAGCAGAACAGTGAAATTCTGTAGCACCTGAACCTTCAAGGATCCTTTGTAGATTTCTGTCAGTTATGCCACCCCCTGTTGGAAAAATAAGTAATACATTAAGTTGAATAAAATTTTGTATAAAATTTAATGACTAGCAATGACTGCTTACTCTACCTGAAGTTCCCATGCTAAAATTTCTCATTGACTTAAGAGTTACCCTCTCCCTACTAGGCTAGAATGAGATTAAGAAAGGAATGATAAAAGACAGACTACAGACTCTGGAGAACAGTTAACTAATAAGGTGACAGAACCTGTATGATGGAATCTTATACATCCATTGGTTTATATAATAATGCTATATGTTACAGACTTTAAAATTGTTCAAGGGCAATGAAAAATCTCGATCCCTGCTCCCTCTCAATTAAAGCAAAATCATATTAAAACAAAAAGTAAGGATAGGTTTGAGGAAGAAGCTACAAAAGCACAGCCTCAGAGATGTATCTGAAAGACACAAGTTCTCTTTCTAACCCAGGATTCAAAGAGCACATGACTACATTATAAATGGGGGGAAATGCAAGGCATTACATAGTTTATTCATTATACTATCAACTTTGTTTTTCACAGAAGAATCTGATTCTACTTTATTAAAACTGTATAATAAAGTACTTTGTAATGACTCGTTTGTTTTGTTGAACAATCTCTTAATTAAATATTTGTAGACAGACATATTCTGAACTAATACCAGATTAAAAATATAAAATTAGTTATTGATCTTTATATCCTTCTTTTCTAACATATAGTATTTATTTAATAAAGATTTTTTAATGACTGATAAAATTTGTACTTGGTAACTCAAGCTATTCAAGTTGCTGAAGTAACCTGACTTTACATACTCTATTGGACTCATTAACTTGTTTGTTTTCTTTTTTCTTAGTGATACAGTAATATCACTGAGCCCTAAGAACTTGAAAGAACATAGACTTTTTTTAGACATGTCTAACGATGAAATGCCATGATGCTTTTAACTTTAAAATACCTAAGGATAACAAAAGATAACAAATGTGGCAAAAAGTTAAATCTAGGAAATGAACACATTAGTATTCTTTAAGCTATTTTCTACTTTTTTGTATGTTTGAGAAAATTAAAATGAAGAAATTAAGATTGTCTTTATATCTCTCTCATTCTGATTCTAGATCCTCTTATTAATTCTTTAAAAATTGTTCATCTCCAATGAGCCAGAATGTACCTCATTGATCTCATGGTTATCATCAGGAACATATGCTCTAATTATTCTAGTAAAAGGATTTGGTGATCAGAGATTTTCAAGAACCAAGAGAGTATTATATTTGTCCAGTGACACCTCCTAAATGTTTGCTTACACCTTGTTAACAACTAGGACATTTGGCCCTAACTCAGTCTTGCAGCATCAAACTTGGTGTGCCTCACCAGAGATGAACATCCACATTCACCAAATTCTATACTATGGAAGACAGAGAAACCCCAGTCCCAATCTAATTCCTTATTTCTACTCTCTGAGCTAATCCCTGCTAGAATGTTCTCCTTATCTGAAGCTTTATATTCTAGCACGGATCTCTCAATCTTAAATTTTTAATCAAATTACTTATTCTTTTCTCCGAATAACATGTATTAATACTTTCTCCCATATCATTCTGCCTCCTTTTTTTCTCTACTGCACTTCAGTGTGTACTAACAAATGGATAGATAATTAAATACCTGGCATTACCACAATCCTGCCTTTTGCCTGAAAAAAGAAAAAAAAACAAATTTTAATATCTTTCTCTCAAATGAGATAATAAGGCAGTGAGAACAGAAACATGAGTGAAAGTATATTAAATTTAAAAAACTACTACTATCTATCTTTCAATAGGTCATCTCTAATTCTTTGGGATCAGCATAGTAACTCTTTCTATTCAGAATGGTTATTTTATTGTATTGCTTTGAAGGTTTGTACTGTGATGAACATAAAGGAGACTATGCTATAAACACTGAATAATCACATCACCTAAGAAAAGTCATTACTGAAAAATAACACTAATTCTGTATTTTTGGTCTGTAATGAAAAGGACGTAGTTGAGTTTATATAAGATTTCAGCAGAAAGCAGAGCACAGCATAATAATAAATTACTGGAGGAAAAAAAACCCTACTCAAGTCTTGTACCCTCAACTAAATTCCCTAGCTTATTAGATCAGCTAAAAAAAAATCACGAATCCACCTAACTGGGTTTTAAGTAATAAAATCAGACTATATGGATTAATTTCTGATAATTCTGGAATATAGGTATTGAAATTTCCTTACTTTTATTCAAACTTAGATTAGATTTCCTAAATAAGTTTTGGGGATATACAGTATCACTGAAAGTCAAAAGGATATCACCCTAAATGCAAATTTAATGGAACTACTAGTAGCAGGTAGGTAGTGATGACAGGATAAAAATTACACATTATGTCAAGCTTACTAATTTTCTGAGTAAAACAATTTAAACTGTATGGAAAATAAATTTTTTCTCATGTATTTCCTGAGAGGAGTCTTTAATACCAGACCAGCCAAGTCTGCCACTCAAAACAATTCCAAGTCATTTGCCTCAACCGTGCATTTTATATTTGGTTCAGGTCTTGATTTCACAGTTCCTGAGGTGGAGCCTCGTATCAAGCACCCCCACTCCCTGGACTGCAAGCAAGGAGCCTGCTTGGGATTCTCTCTCCTCTCTTTCTGCCTCTCCCACCCCCAATAAATAAATAAACTTTAAAAAAAAGAAGAACCACATATAGCTTAGTTTCTTTTTCCGTAGAAAAAGAGAAACAATTGACTGATATATTCAATGAACACAATTAATGTTGAGAATACTTAAGTTCTATATCATGTTGTATTAGGACAAATAAGAAAACAAAATGACTGGCTTAGTGTGAGGAGGGAAAAATGGGGAGTAGAGAAAAAGGGGTAGCACCATCCAATGTGAGAAGAAGGGCAGAAAAGGAAAGGAAAAAGAGGATATGAGAGAACAGAAGAGAATAAAAACCAAAAGAATGGAGTAAAGTAAAAATCAGCTAACTCCTGGAATAACAAATGTGAAGAAGGAAAGAGAAGCAGAAAATCTCAAAAGCAATACAGCATAAAGACAGTAAAAAGAGAGTAGTAACAGTAGGGAAGATAATAGAGATCATCATGATCAGAGGAGAAACAGCCTTCCCTTTACTTTTTTTTTTTTTAATGTTTTATTTATTTCTAGGAGAGAGACAGCGCGAGCAGGGGAGGGTCAGAGAGAGAGGGAGTCACAGACTGAAACAGGCTCCAGGCTCTGAGCTGGCAGTCAGCACAGAGCCCGACGCGGGGCTCAACCCACGAACCGTGAGATCATGACCTAAGCGAAAGTCGGACGCTTAACCGACTAAGCCACCCAGGCGCCCCTCCCTTTACTTTTAAGACAAGTTATAGATACTTTAACAAGCTCTAATTAACCAGCAGTGTAAAGTTAAGATAAACATTCAGTATAATTGTTGAGGATCTTTATGTAATAGCAACAAACTCCAAAACAGGTCCAAAGAGCTAGCTATAGTATGAGTTATCATGTGAAAAGCATTCCAAAAAAAAATTTTTTTTTTGAGAGAGAGAGAGAGAGAGAGAGGATGCAAGTGAGTGAGGGGCAGAAAGAGAGAAAATCCCAGGAGGGGCAGAGAGAGAGAGAGGGACAGACAGACAGACAGACAGTGACAGAGACAGAGACAGAGAAGCAGGGCTCACGCTCACCTGAACTGGTACTCGAACTCACCAACCATGAGATCATGACTTGAGCTGAAGTCAGATGCTTAGTGGCTGAGCCACCCAGGCACCCAAAGCATTCTAAATCATTTTAGTTAAAAAATGATATGCTTGAAATGCACATTCAATGCAACCCCAATCAAAATTGCACCAGCATTCTTCTCAAAGCTAGAACAAACAATCCTAAAATTCGTATGGAACCATAAAAGACCCCGAATAGTCAAAGTAATGTTGAAAAAGAAAATCAAAGTAGGAGGCATCACAATCCCAGACTTTAGCCTCTACTACAAAGCTGTAATCATCAAGACAGTATGGTATGGGCACAAAAACAGACACATAGACCAATGGAATAGAATAGAGAACTCAGAATTGGACCCACAAACGCATGGCCAACTAATCTTTGACAAAGCAGGAAAGAGTATCCAGTGGAAAAAAGACAGTCTCTTTAAGCAAATGGTGCTGGGAGAACTGGACAGCAACATGCAGAAGAATGAAACTACACCACTTTCTTACACCATACACTAAATGTGAGACAGGAAACCATCAAAACCCTAGGGGAGAAAACAGGCAGCAATTTTCTTTGACCTCAGGACTGCAGCAATTTCTTGCTTGACATGTCTCCAAATGCAAGGGAATTAAAAGCAAAAATGAACTATTGGGACTTCATCAAAATAAAAAACTTCTGCACTGCAAAAGAAACAATCAACAAAAGTAAAATCAACCGATGGAATGGGAAAAGAAAGTTGCAAATGACAAATCAGATAAAGGGCTAGTATCCAAAATCTATAAAGAACTTACCAAACTCAACACCTGAAAAACAAATAATCCAGTAAGGAAATGGGCAAAAGACATGAATAGACATTTTTCCAAAGAAGACATCCAGATGGCCAAAAGACACATGAAAAGATGCTCAATGTTACTCATAATTAGGGAAATACAAACCCACACTCATTACTCATTACAAACCCATTACTCATAATTAGGGAAATCAAAACCACACTGAGATACCTCACACTGATCAGAGTGGCTAAAATTAACAATGCAGGAAACAAAAGATGCTGGAGCGGATGTGGAGAAATGGGAACCCTCTTGCATTATTGGTGAGAATGTAAACTGGTACAGCCGCTCTGGAAAAAAGTGTGGAGGTTCTTCAAAAAAATTAAAAATAAAACTATCCTATGACCCAGCAATAGCACTACTAGGAATTTATTCAAAGGATACAGGAGTGCAGATTCACAGGGGCATATGTACCCCAATATTTACAGCAGCACTTTCAACAACGGCCACATTATGGAAAGAGCCTAAATGTCCATCAGCTGATGAATGGATAAAGAAGATGCGGTTTTTTATATACAATGGAGTACTCCTTGGCAATGAGAAAGAATGAAATTCTGCCATTTGCAGCAACATGGATGGAACTAGAAGGTATTATGCTGAGTGAAATAAGTCAGTCAGAGAAAGACAGATATCATATGTTTTCACTCATATGTGGAACTCGAGAAACTTAACAGAAGACTATGGGGGAAGGGAAGGGAAAAAATAGTAAATAGAGAGGGAGGGAGGCAAACCATAAGAGACTCTTAAATACAGAGAACTGAAGGTTGATGGAGGTGGTGGGGGAGAGGGAGAAATGGGTGATAGGCGCTGAGAGGAGGGCACCTGTTGGGATGAGCAATGGGTGTATGTCAACAATTAATCACAGGAATCTACCCCCAAAACCAAGAGCACACTATACACACTGTATGGTAGCCAATTTGACAATAAATTATATTTTTAAAAATGATAAAAAGGAAAAAAAATGATATGATGGGAGCATCTGGGTGGCTCAGCCAGTTAAAGTGTCTGCCTCTTGATTTTGGCTCAGGTCATGACTTCATGGTTCATGAGATTGAGCCCCACCTCGGGCACCGCATGGTCAATGGAGCCTGCCTGGGATCCTCTCTCTTCCTCTCTCTTGCCCCTCCCCTGCTCACACTGTCTCTCTCTGTTTCTCAAAATAAATAAACTTAAAAAAATTATATGCTGATGCAGAAAGGGAAATAGAGACTGATAAATTAATTAATTACAATACAATAAGGTGCAAAAAAAATCTCTTTTGTAGGTTTGAGCCAACAACTTGTGTTCTATAATGAGGAAATTTGAACTCCCAGACTAGTACATAAGTAGCAGAGCCTCAGTAAAATAATCAAAAGTGACCTCAAAGTCCAACCTCTGGCATATTTGTCACTGAAAGAGTACATAATTTTTCATGACAGCCAAATTATATGTCATTTTGGAAAGACAGCTCCAAAGTTACCAAAACAGCTTATATGTATATATACTGTGAAAATCTATAGACTGCCATTTTGAAGATTTTTCAGAGAACCTCCTTCTGATATTTAAAAAAAATTTTTAATTTTAGAGCATCCCCAGGCTTACAGTTGTTAGTAAATGGCAAAGCCAGGATTTAAACACAAACGTTCTAATCCCAAAATCTATGCTTTAACCAGTATATTATACTGCTAGGTAATTGCTTCAACAAGTAAAGTTAGCATGATCTTACTTATATGTAGAATCTAAAAAAGTCCACTACAGAGAAACAGAGAGTAGAACGTTGCTATCATGGGTGAGAAGGTGGGGAAAACAGGGAGATACTGGTCAGAGGGTACAAAGCTGTAATTACACAAGATGAGCAAATCTCCAGATCTAATGTACAATAGTGACTATAGTTAATATTGCATTCAATACTGAAAATTTGCTGAGAGTAGTATTTCAGGTGCTCTCACCAAACACACACACACACACACACACACACACACACACACGTAACTACATGAGACAGTTGTATTAATTAGCTTGACTGTAACTATTTCACTATGTATATTAATACTGAAATATCATGTATACCCTAAATACATGGAATTTTTCTTTTATAAAAAAGAAGTAAAGTTAGTGTATGAGAATATTTAACTCAATGCTTCCTGCCAACCAATTATTAAACTACAAATTACATTCACAATACAGTGATTATGAAATGTAAGATATGACTATGGCAATTATATCGACCATATTTTCTACTCCATAGTGAGAAACAATTTAAAAATGAATTCATCAGTTCTTCTATTTTAAAACCCTTCAACTTTCCCACTGGTCCAAGGATAAAATACATACTCTTCAACAGTTTTCAAGGCTCTGGACAGCATTCTTCTCTTTATATCCAACATTCTGGTTTCTTCAATATCTTAGTAAGTTATTTTTCCCAGGTCTTTGTATACACTATTTCTTCTGCATGAAGTATTCACCTATTCCCCTTATCTGCTCTTACATAGATAACTTCTAATCATTGCTCAAATGAATGTGTGTGTGACTCTTCTTCTGGGGAGCTAATTATTAACAACCCCATGTCCCAAACTGGGGTTAATTCCTCTCAAATGTGCCCTTTAGTACCTTTAAAATATTTTTAAAAAGAGGGGAGGCACCTGGGTGGCTCAGTCAGTGAACTGTTTGACTCTTAAAAATTTTTTTTTAATGTTTATTTATTTTTGAGAGAGAGAGAGAGGGAGAGAGAGAGAGAGACTGAAAAGAGACAGAGTGCAAGCAGAGAGAGAGGAAGACACAGAATCCAAAGCAGGCTCCAGGCTCTGAGCTGTTAGCACAGAGCCTGACACGGGGCTCAAACCCACCAGCTGCGAGATCATGACCTGAGCCAAAGTTGGACGCTTAACTGACTAAGCTACCCAGGTGCCCCCAAACGTCTGACTCTTGATTTTGGCTCAGGTCATGATCTCACAGTTGTGAGATCGAAGTTGGGCATGGAGCCTACTTAAGATTCTCTCTCTTCCTCCCCTTCCGCCCCTTCCCTGCTCATGTGCACCCTCACTCCCTCTCTCTCTCTCTCAAAAAATTATTTTTTTAAAGTAAACTCTATCCCCAATGTGGGGCTTGAACTCACTACCTCCAGATTGAGTGGCAAGCTCTACTGAGCCAGCCAGGTGCCACTTAGCACCTTTTTTTAATAGCACTCTATTAGAATTGCTTGTTTTATTAAAAATGCCTTTTATGCACCAAACTGTAAGGGCAGTGACCACACACACACACACACACACACACACAGGTCACCACCACAGTACAAACGCCTTGCAGTTAACATATTCTTAATAAATATTTGTAAAATCAGTAAGTTCCAGACTAGCAAAGTCACATCAGATCCGTAGGTGACATTTCTGAAAATTATTTTCATGGCTATAAGAAAGTGAACATAATTAGATTTCTATACATAACATTAAAAAATATTAATAACAGCAGTAGTAATAATAATAATAGAAACTAACATGTAGTAAGATCTATATATGTCAAGCACTGTGCTAAGGCTCTTACATGTCTTATCTCTACCAATCATCAGAACAACCCTATAAAAGAAGTATTAAACTTTTCTCAATTGCACATACAAACAGAGGCTGAATAATCTACTCAACATTATACAGCAAATTAGTGTCTGAGTCTTAAGTCCAGAACTCTCTTGTCTGAAAGTCCATACTCACTAAAACAAAATGGCTCTGGACTGGTGTCAATAAAACAGACATACCACAATTACAAATTTGCCTGCTCTACAAATAATGCTAACTCATCATGGAAATTCATACAAGAGAAAACATATTTCCTCCTATCTTGATAGATAGGGAGAGATGAAAGAATATAATTTTAGTTTTAGAATTCATTTCCAATGTGTTAATTATTTCAAATTTTTTATGGGATCCCCTGAGTATACACAGGCTGACAGTGAGATAATGTGTCTTAAAACTATGTAATGCTAATGGAAGAGAAAAGGTAAAATTGGCTGTGGTTATCCAAGTGAGATCAAAACCTTAAGCATTGTCTACAATTTGACTTCAAGAGCCTTAAATACTAAAATGCTCATGTGAAAGAAATAAGAATTATATAAATTTATTTCTGCCTGCTTCCTTTTCTGTATAGGGTAACCATTTAGTCAGTAATAGTTTCATAACCTAGCTGAACAACAGAATATCAGGAGCAAGCACAACAGAGTTAGGGAAAAAGGAAACAAACTGTGTGTACCTGATCTATGAGTCGCTTTATTAGGGGTAGCCCTTCTAGTGCCGAACTGTCACATCCACTGGTCAATACTCGTTCAAATCCCAAGGTTAAGAGGGTCTCTAGAGCTGCCACTGGATCATGAACCATGTCAAAGGCTGAAATAAATAAAACTGATTTGAATTTTGAACACATATCCTCTAATATAGAGCATTCCAAAATGTAGTATACACACAGCGGTGTGCTGGACCCTGACCTGTATTGGGAGGCCAGGGCCAACTGTTAAATATCCAGGAGTTTTGCAAGAATGATTGTTATTCACTGACAGCCTGAAATCAGTCAAGGAGGGAGAATTTAAACCACAGAAATCAACAAATACTACGTACCAGGGCTCTTTTTGTGCAAGAACTAGTTTACCAGCACACCACAGTCTGCATACCATGGTGGTGTGCATGAACATTTTAGATAGTACCCATCTGAACAGATTTATTTACTTAAACACAGATTAAAAGTGAGACATTTCCATTTTCCATGAGTTATAAAAGTTTCTCTTTAAATTCACTTAAGATTTTATTTAATGAAAATTATTACATACATTTGCACAGGCAGCACTTAAATACAGTAAAACTGTAAATGTGATAGGCAAGTGACTCAAATTTGGAAAACTGCTCTAAGGCTTCAGACAAACTGGACAAGCCACACTTCAGACAAACAGTACACTCACTTTTCCTAAAAAAGGCCTTGGCTCACATTCTTATTATTGACTAATATTTTATACTGTTCCACTTGCTCCAAATATTTAACGGCTCATAGTATAAAGACAATTGTTTACAACAGACTATGTAAACTTATAATTCCATTCTACTTTCTAGGAGACTTCTCTCTTCGTCAGAGAGGAACGTGGCACTAGGAACCTCAAAAATAAAAACCACTTCTACTTTGATTCTCAGCACTGTTACATGATTTGGAAGTTCTAGTCTATTGTGGATTAAGCTAGACCCGTTTATATTGCCCTTTAGCGTATGCAGGCAGCTAAATGTACCACAGAGGCTTTTCCTGTTTTTGTAGCAGTGCCTCACCAGTGATTACACTATCACACTATCTCATTAAATGCACAAGTGAAAACAATGTAGAACTTACAACAATCCAAAATTTTGAAAATATAAAAATATTTTTGATAAATGTATTGAAGGAAAAGAAATTTGAAACAATTTTCTTAGTTTAAGAAGAGGAAAAAAATACATTCTATATAATGTGTTTACTTTTTAAATTACTTAGCATGTCAAAGTCTAAACTATATTTTTCAGATAAATGTTTACTGATTTAAATTATTTTTCATATTTATAAACTTACTTTGGCACTTTCAAGGTGCTGAATTTTAAACATTCTAACATCTTTTAGTTATTGCTAGTTTATGAGAAGCATTGCTAAACAGTAAGTCAAGAAAATAATTTTTGGTGGTATGATCCATTTCAAAAAGAAACAGGAACAACAAATGCTTTATCTCTAATTTCTGTAAATAGACACAAATGACAGTGCCCACTCTTATCCTAATCTTTGAATCCTTACTCAAAAGGACAGAAAAACATTCAACAATTTCTCATGCATATACCATCAAGTAAAAAAAATTTTTGACTTAAGACTTCTTTTCTTTTCATGTATAACAGAGTGCCCTCTGCAGGCAAAATTAACTTGTTCAGTTTTACTTAGGTTTGACAAAAGTGTAAGGAAATTAGGACTACCTGATTTATAGATAAGTATTTTTATATGAAATTATCAGATAATTTTTTAGAAATCATTCTGATGTAGACAAGCTATCAATAATGCAGTTTTGTACACAACATTGAGCATCTGTTCATTGACTGTCCAGCATCTCTTTCTTCTTTCCTCCTTCCTAATAGTACCAATGCTTATGCAGATATCCACCCCTGTCCCCACCTCTACCCATGAATCTTATATTCATCTGGGAAAGCTGGTCGTACCACTAGCTCCTAGAATGGTATTGTCTGCCTTAAGCCAGGCAGTAGATTTCACTTCACTGGCCACAGCAGTTTATTCTTCTAGGGGTTGCACATGGGCTAAGGCAGTCTAATAAAAAATGAATCTCAGGATTCTTACTTGGGATGCTATGACAAGTACATACGTTTGTAGACAATTCCTACTCTCTCCCTCTATTATATCCCACCACACCACCATTTACTTTTATTTTTTTTTTTGTTTTTTTTTTGTTTTTTTTAGTTGTATTTAATTTAATTTTATTTTATTTTATTTTTTTTTACAAATAGTTTATTGTCAAATTAGTTTCTACATAACACTCAGTGCTCATCCCCAAAGTGCCCTCCTCCATGCCCATGCCCCCCTCCCCCCCACATCCATCAGTCCTCAGTTTTTGTCAGCATTCAAGAGTCTCTCATGGTTTGCCTCTCTCCCTTTCCCCCACCATTTTCGCCCTTCTTCTCCCCCTTGGTCCTCCGTCAAGTTCCTCCTAATCCTCCTATACGTGCAAACATATGGTATTTGTCCTTCTCTGCCTGACTTATTTCGCTCAGCATAACACCCTCAAGGTCCATCCATGTTGCTACACATGGCCAGATTTCATTGTTTCTCATTGCCATGTAGTATTCCATGGTATAGATAAACCACATCTTCTTGATCCATTCATCTGTTGATGGACACTTAGGCTCTTTCCATGTTTTAGCTATTGTGGAGAGTGCTGCTATGAACATTGGGGTACATGTGCTCCTATGCCTCAGCATTTCTGTATCCCTTGGGTAAATTCCTAGCAGTGCTATTGCTGGGTCATAAGGGAGTTCTATTGTTAGTTTCCTGAGGAACCTCCACACTGTTTTCCAGAGGGGCTGTACCAGTTTACATTCCCACCAACAGTGCAGGAGGGTGCCCGTTTCTCCACATCCTCGCCAGCATCTAGAGTTCTCTGATTTGCTCATTTTAGCCACTCTGACTGGCGTGAGGTGGTATCTCAGTGTGGTTTTGATTTGTATTTCCCTGATGAGGAGGGATGCTGAGCATCGTTTCATGTGTCTGTTGGCCATCTGGATGTCCTCTTTGGAGAAGTGTCTGTTCATGTCTTCTGCCCATTTCTTCACTGGGTTGTTTGTTTTTCGGGCGTGGAGTTTGGTGAGTTCCTTATAGATTCTGGATATTAACCCTTTATCTGATATGTCATTTGCAACTATCTTTTCCCATTCCGTTGGTTGCCTATTAATTTTCTGGGTTGTTTCCTTGGCTGTGCAGAAGCTTTTAATCTTGATGAGGTCCCAACAGTTTATTTTTGCTCTCGATTCCCTTGCTTTTGGGGATGTGTCAAGTAAGAAGTTGCTGCGGTGGAGGTCAAGGAGGTTGTTTCCTGCTTTCTCCTCTAGGGTGTTGATAGTTTCCTGTCTCACGTTCAGGTCCTTTATCCATTTTGAGTTGATTTTTGTGCATGGTGTGAGAAAATGATCTAGTTTCATTCTTCTGCATGTTGCTGTCCAGTTCTCCCAACACCATCTGTTAAAAAGGCTGTCTTTTTTCCATTGGATATTCTTTCCTGCTTTGTCAAAGATCAGTTGGCTGTATACTTTTGGGTCCACTTCTGAGTTCTCAATTCTGTTCCATTGGTCTATGGGTCTGTTTTTGTGCCAATACCATACTGTCTTGAGGATGACAGCTTTGTAGTAGAGGCTGAAGTCTGGGATGGTGATACCTCCCGTTTTGGTTTTATTTTTCAGTATTACTTTTCCACCATTTACTTTTAAAAACTTTTCATAAGTTTCAAATTGTTCATCTCTAAATTTACAACAGTTAGTCCCAAGATCAATATAAAGAAACCAACTGGTAACACTGTAACATCTAGTATTGTGCTCCATAAAAAAGGTTATGGCCTTTGGTAAAATTAGAAAACTGACACCATTCAACAGAACTTCTAAAATGGAAATGACTCACCTCGGTGGAAAGTGACTGGTAGAGGACGGCATATAGCTATAAGAAGAAAGCCAAATAACAATATAAATGAACAGCTCATCACTGGTTACTGTATACAGAATTTTCCATGTTAGATGGGACTTTTTTATATTGTCCTCTCCTAAGAAGCAAAGACAGTGAACTAAGATAATGAAATGGCAGCCTTCCAAATTCAGAATTCTTATGTTTCCATTAATCTCTCATTTTCATTAAAAGAAAAAAATGGCTATCCGTCCTTTAACCAGACTAAATAAAAATTATGCGATCTGGTTACTTATAAAGGCAGCATTACATCTATTACTTTTACCCCTCTGAGAATCTTTAAGAAATACTTTGGCCTAGACTTATGAGTAGTATGCTTCTGTCCTCTAGACTTCTCCCCATCCTCAACAACTGCAATAGCCTTTGAAGTTTTTGGTGCAGTGATTAAAGGAATCAAGGCAAACTTCCCTTAAACCTTCCAGGAACAGTAGCAGACTAGAACATATACCCTCTGCCCCAAACATCTAGATAACTACTGTTTAAAATAGGTTAGTATAAGTGCCTGCAGGTATGAATGAAAAGTCAGTTTGTAATTGCCTTTTTTTTTTTTTTACTTGCAGTGACACACAATGTTATATTAGTTTCAATATCAGGAGTATTAAATGCAATCATCATTAGAGGCTTTTTGGTCTCAAGATACAAATTCTTACCCACAAGGGACATGCACAACTCTTTGTCAATGTGTCCATCTTCAGTCAATGCTCCAAATACCAAACCATCAGCACCATAAAGCTTGGCAAGACGAATGTCAGCCTTCATCACCTCAACTTCACGATCTGAATATAAAAAGTCACCTCCACGTGGCCGAATCATCACAAAAACTGGGATCTGGACACATTGCTTCACTACTTGAAGGACACCTAAAAGAACAGAGAGCAACCTAATTAAAATTCAAATGTGAACTAACGGCTCCAGGAAGTCAATAAAATTTATTAGCCTTTTATATTTGCTCTTGCATATCACTTCTATAAGAAAAGGAAGCAATGACTGAAGCAACCAGAGATAGATCGATCTAAAGGGAATGACAACAACAACTTAAAAAATGTGCATATAATAGAAGTTAAATAAAAAGAAAATCAAGGGTAAAAAAGAGCAATTTAGAAAACAGAAAAAATTTACTGCATTTTTAAAAGCACTTGTCAATTGACTAAAGAAAATCATTTTGCTGGTATATAACATTGGAAAGTATAGTAACAGGCTCAATATTCTGCCAGTGTATTCCATTAAGATCTGATTTTTCCTTTCTAATTAATTACAGCTCTGTTTAGAACCTACTATAGAGATGTTTACATAGTTCTAAAGTTTATGACCCTTTAATGAACAAAGAAATTTATCAAAGCCTTTTTTTGAAAGAGTTACGTAAAAGGAAACAAAGTTCTACTTATTTGTGATTTTACGTAGAGATCTATGAATAAAAATACCTAAATATGACACAATTCATGACTAGCTCTGAAACCCTCAATAGTATAGATCTTCCATGACTGGTGATAATAGTTTAATCTTGATAAACCCATCTTAAGCTGAAAAGATCTTAAATCCAAATAAATGCCTTTATTACACCTAACCTACTGAACATCACAGCTTAGCCTAGCTACCATAAACATGCTCACAACCAACACCAAGCAATGAATCATGATTGCTGTTGCAAAGAACAGATTACATTCAAATTTAGAGATGTTCTTAGGGATTTCACAGAATGGCCAGGGAATGCCCTCCTTTAGTGAGAAGATTCCAAAGGGCTATAGCACATATAAACCTTTTATACTAAATACTGCTATCATCAACCTCAGAGTAACATGGAAGAGTCAAAAACCCACACAGGGACTTCTGCTTTTGACCAAGACAGAGTAACAGGGACTGGATTTACCCTCCTACCTATCATAGCCAAAAAACACATATAAATATGAAAAACATATAAAAACAATAAAACAAGACATTGGATGTCAAGCAACAAAGAACAATGATGGCTGAAAGATGGGAAACAAACAAGATAAACTCTTTAACTGACCCAAATTATTACCTTGAGGGTTTTCTAGGCTGCAGTATAAAAGGGGGAGTCCAGGTGGACGCCAGAGAATTCTCTGAGTTCAAGAGACAAAAATGAGAGTCCAGGGAGACAAAGGACTAGAGTTCACAGGATAAAGTACCAGTGGGGAGAGAAAGAGAACTCTGGAGACTTGCAGAGAATCTCCTTCCAATATTCAGCTCAGTATTGATATGCAAGGAAATCATGCAAGGCCAGGGGGAAAAATCCACTGAGTAGAAAGAAATAGTGCCTGTCATTCACACCTGTGAGGCCAAAAAAAACACCTATTCCCAATAGGCATATAGGAAAGGTTAAAAATTCATGGGGCACTGGATAGAGTACACAGAAAAGTCTTGCTTCAGTAGTGGGGAATAATTAACTCTAGATGGAAACACAGACCTACACAAAGGAATGAAGAACACCAGAAATAGTAACTACACATAGGTAAATGATTGTTCATACATGATTGTTTTCTCTTTCACTCTCTTTAAGAGATAATTGACTCTTTAAACAACAACAATAATGTACTGTGGGGTGTATGTATTTTTAACATAGATAGAAATACAATGTATGACAACAGCAAAAAGGCCAGGAGGGGAGAAATGAAGACGAAAGTCAATACACTGAGGATGCCAGGATGGAAAAAGAAAAGAAAAAAACTCCCAGCCCTTGATATTACCGCAGAGCAACTGAACCAAAATTAACAGTAACTACCTATCTCTCAACTTTTTGATGTTCTATATGAGGATCACATCTTTGATAGGCAGGTTTATTTATAACCGTAAGCATTTCTAACTGATACAAATATCCACAACATAGTTAACATATTAGTAACATTAGTAAAGGATCCCAGTGAAACATATTATCCATTGTCTCCAGGCTCTGTAAACTCCCCTTAGAAAATATGAAAACCAGACACTTACCCATGCTGGGTGTGGTTCCCCCTTCCAGTAAGCCAGAACACAATTCAATCCGATCCGCACCTATGATAAAAAAAAAAAAGAAAGAAAAGAAAAAAGAAAGCATTGCTTAACACAATAAACTTTTAAGAATTAAAAATTAAGTTTTAAGAAGCATTGCTCAACAATTATTGTCCAAAATAAACATTTATGAAACAGTAAAGTTAACATTTTTTCCCAAAATATAGCAGTCTTAAAACCTGAGAGAAATCAAATTATAAAACCAGAATAAAACTCCATTTTTAATCCCAACTATATTCTGCAACCTACATTGTGTTACTGATAGTCAAATTTAAGAGTTAATTCAAGTTAAGCTAGATCTCTTGACAATTTGTATTACAGGGTTGCCTCTCCATGTATTAGGATGTGACTTACAATAAATAAGTTTCTGGACTGAAACACTGACTCTTCATTGATAATAACAATCTTTTTGAAGAGTGTCTAAGCTTTAAAAAAGTACAAGATAATTTTAAGTAGCTTAAATCAGAATAATCTCAAGAATAAGAGAATGCTGAAAGCATATGAACTATCAGACTATGGGGTCATGTCAAGAGTCTCAGGAGCCAGCTTGAAAAGGCTCATACCAGCCAAACAGGGGACACTTTGAGCATCAGTAAGAATAACCATAATGGAGTAAAACACATCAAATATGTCTAAATCTAGATTCATATTAATAAAATAATTCACTGGGGAGTGGAGAATGAACTCATTATCCAAAAATCAGTAAACAGCAGAAAAGGAGCAAGCATTAATCCTGCCTTTCCTATAGAAACTGAACCCCAATATAACCAAACAGTTGATGAAGGAAAGTTCTTTATAAAAGCATACTTCTAATAAGTGAAAAGTAAATAAATGTTAGACTTACTATTGTACCATTTCTCAAACCCTACTAAAACAGGCACTGCTAAAAATATTAGGTGAAAAGCTGAAAGAAAACCTTATAAAGGATGCATCAGGCTAACAATATCTGAATCCACTGCAGGCCAAAGGGCCACAGCTAGTTTTTGTTATGTTTGTGTGTTTTTCAAAGAATAAAAATCTTTATTGACATATAATTCACACATCATAGCCATTTAAAGTGTGCAATTTAATATTTTTTAGTATACTTAACAGAGTTTGGCAGCCATCAACACAATCAATTTTGGAACATTTTCATCACCCCAGAAAGAAACTTCATACCTTTTAGCAGTTACCTCCCCTTTTCCCATGCCCTCAAATCCTAGGCAACCACTTCTTTTTCCAAAATTTGACCAATGTGGAAATTTCATATAGGTGGAATCATACAGCATGTGGTATTTTGTGACTTTTTCTCTACTTTGTTTTTCCCGCTTAAAATGTTAGAATAATTTCAAGATTCATCTATGTTGTAGCATGTATCAGCACTTCACTCTTCGTTATTGCCAAATTAAGAATGGTTTTTACATTTTCAGAGGATTATTTTTGAAAAAAAAGAATATTCAACCAAGACCAAATGCAGACAGTAAAGCTGCAAATATATACTATGCTGCTCTTTACAAAAAGTATCCTGATTCCCATATAGATGAAAGATTGGGCACTTGCTGAAAATAGTAGATGCCAAGTGACGGGTATGTGAGGATTCAGTACACTGTTCTACTTTTGTATATGCTTAACGTTTTCCATAATAGAAAGTTTTTAAAAATTTCTGATCCTGAGATGATGGGAATTTTTTTTTTTTAACATTTATTTATTTTGAGAGAGAACATGCACATATGCATGAGCGGAGGACAGGGAGAAAGGAGACAGTCCCAAGCAGGTTCTGTGCTGCCAGTGCAGAGCCCTATGTGGGGCTAGATCTCATTACCACGAGATCACAACCTGAGCAGATATCAAGAGCTGGATGCTTAACCAACTGAGCAATCCAGGCACCCCCAGAGAATTTCTATGCTTCCCATTAAAGCAGGTTCAGAATGCAAAAGAAACCTTGAGGTAAAAATAATGTTAAAAAAAAAGGTAATGATAAAAAGTCTTGATGACGAAAATGGAAGCAAATCTCTTAAAAATCAATAGTTTGAAAAAAATGAAGTTTTCACTAAGTTCAACAAAAAAAAAAGGAAGTTGGTGAGTAAGCACTAATGTGTACACTTGACTCAAAATGTGATCTACTGGAGGAGTAAGATTAGAAGATAATATTTTCCAGTATGTTTTCCAGTTAGTTGGCTATTTTTAAAAAGATTACTAAGATCCTTAGTGATCACAAGGGTTCCCAAGATTAGTTCACAGTATTCATTTTCAGATTCTTACAGGGGCTGCCAACTGTCATTCATTCTCTTTGGTCTTACCTCCTCTTTCTGCATTTACAGCTGACTCTACTGAATCAACACACACCTCCATGAGAAATCCATTTGCTGCTCCTAAAATATATGGAGAACAATGCAATTTCATGATGGTACTACCCACCCAGACCAATGTACTACCATTATTTTACACTGTGCTGCCCAAATCCAATGTGCAATGTCCAAGTCCAATAATCCAAGTAGGTAAGTATACTGGAGACCATGAATGCAATAAAATAGCATGCTGATTATTAAACTGATGTCTCTGAACTGTGAAATAAGTTCACAGACATATGTATAAGAAACTACACTGAGGAAAATATACACTGAATGCCAAATTAATCTTCCTAAAACACAGACTTCATCATTACATTCTAAGTCAGATTGTTTTTGATGTTTCTCAGTGTTTGCAGAATATGTTTAAACGTCTTTATAAAGATCATGTTTCCGAACAAGGATGGACTTCAAATCTTGGCCCCACTACTTATTTGTGTGACACTAGACAAGTTACTTAGCCTAAGTTTTCTATGAAACAGAGTAGGCTTTAGTACCTACCTCAGAGTAGTGAGGACTAAATAATTCATGTAAACTGGAGAGTATCCACTGTGTGTACAAAAACAGTTATCATTAATAAACTACATATTCTTTCTTCTATATACCTCCAGTTTCCCCCAATTCCCATCTTTGCTCTTGATTATGGCCATCTCTTCAATCCCTTTTCAAAGCCCTGCCAGCTCCACTGCTGAATGATAAAATCTCCCAAGACTTACATTAAATCACATTTCTATATTTCCCCTCTCTCAAAGCAGGAAATTGTATCTCTCTCTTCTTTTGAACTCATATGACTCTTCATAGATTATGTGTTCCTCTTTAAAACTATTTGTATCTTTTTAAAACACTAATTACTTTCTACCTCCTATTATGTAGACAGGCATCTGTTCACTCTTAGCTGACTTCGCGTTCTTAAAGAACATAATTTTAAGTCATTTTAGTATTTATAACTAAAGTTCTTAAAGATTTCATGTGAGAAATCTTTATCATCATCCACAGCAAGCACAGTGTCCTCCCCAGTCCAGTATACAACAGTCATGCAAAGATTTACCAAAGGCAGAATAATTATAAATCTATAAGTTTCATCCACGTATTTACACTACAGTATGATAAAAATTAAGTTTTGAGTTTTTCTGTAAGCGAAGCACATTTTTTTGTTTACAATAAGAATGTGAAATGTATACTTCATGCAATAATACCTGAAAGAATGTGCACCACCTCCTGATAATGGTTACTACTAGGTGGTAGATTTGGAATTACTTTTACTCTTCTTTTTCACTTTTCTATGTTGCTTTTTTTAATCTACCTAATATTGCCTTTATCATTTTTTAAAAGGCTGTGTTTAATTTTGAAAAACAAAAATCTATCATCTGCTTACATCAAATTGCAACGGTCTCACTTTTGTAAAAGACGATCAGTCTCAAACTGTGAAAGAGGTAAGTATCACACTATGTTCTTAACCAAGAGCAACGCATTCATTCCAACACCAGCTGTCATATCAATCTGACTGGACAATGCAGCAGGGGTACCATTTGCCTCACAGGAGGAAGGTCCTTGGCCAGGAGACGGTGGAGGTGCACACACACGGCTATGACAGGAGGCAGAGTAACACACCTGTCCAGGAACAAAGTTATTTGCGGGAATCCAAGACATTTGTTTGGAGCAGCGGTTCTCAAAGTGTGGAGGTCCAGTTAGCTCCGGGGGCCTTTAAGACCCTCTCAGAGTCTGTGCAGTGAAAAGTATTTTCATAATAATGCTAAACCTTTATTTGCCTTGTTCACTCTCATTCTCTCACAAGTGGAGTGGAATTTTCAAGAGGCTACCTGACATGTCAGACTGAATGCAGAAGCAGGTACGGCAATTCCATTAATTTAGATCTTAAAGATATTTGCAAACATTTATAAAACACTGGCATTCTATTTGTTAGAAGAATAGTTATTTTTCAGACACACACAATGTTATTGGTGTTAACATGTAATGGGTTTCCAGTTAATTAATATTTTTAAATTTGTTTCAATTTCGAATACAGATAGATTTAACCTATATACATGAGAGGTCTCTGAGGTTCTCGGTAACTTTCAGGAAGGGAAAGGGATCCTGAGATCAAAAAGATTGAGGCCCGCTGGTCTGGAGGGACCGAGAGTTCAGGAGGCTGGGGATCTGCCAAATTCCAGAGCACCCGCTACGCCATCGTGCCTGGAGCAGCAGCAAGAACTCGGGACGTATGGCAGCCACAAGCTCGGGCAGCTCGGGCACTTGACAGCCGTGTGGCTTTGGGGACCGTCCTCGCCCCCGCCGCAGCAGCTCCAGGTTGCCACGGGGAGGCGCTGCGCTCAGGGCTCGAAGCTAACTGTCCCAGCGCTGCCGCGGGGTGGGGACTCGCAGCCTCGCGTGGCGACGGGAAACGTGGGTCTGAAAGAAGTTAAGCAACTTGAACACGGTCGCACACTAGACGCGGCGGCATGCGAACCCACACATCTGGTTCCAGAGCCGGGTCACTCTGGCTCCAAGCCCCTTCTCGGGCCCTCAACTTTTACACGTTTAAAGCCAGAACGACAGAACTTGCCGCGCTGAGGGGTGTGAGGAGCGGGGCAAAGGACTCGGAGTGAAACCGCGACTACTCCACGGGCCAGAACTCCCGTAGGCCCGCCCCTGGCAGCGAAGGCGGCCGACCCTCCCCGCCCCCTTCCGCACCGGACTTCCCGGACGGTATTCGCGCCCGTTTCCGCTCCGAGGAGGCCCCCTGCCTCTTCATGCTCGACGAGTCCTCCCTCGTGCGTCTTCGTTTTCTACTGAGTCCAGGTTCTGGTGCGCGCGACCAACGAAGCGCGGCCTAATGGCTGCGCGCACCCCGGCGCGTCACCGACACCCACACCCAGCAGCCCCCGCGAAAGACGAGTATCTAGCGCAGTCGCAGTCACTGCTCGCCCTTGCTTCTGAGAGGGAGGGGCTTGCTCCGCATGACCCGGAAGTGTTTCTCCGTTAGGTGGTGGTGAAAGGGGACCACAGAGTGCTGGGCTGTGGAGGTGGCTTCCTTGCACGGTCTTCAGTATGCAGCGATTACTCTTTCCGCGCCTGAAGGCCTTGGTGGGGAGTCCGTGCCTCCGGCTCTTGAGTCCTAGGGTGGCGCCTAGAACGCAGGTACCGACTTCAGCCGACTCAGTCGTGGAATCAGACATGGGGCGAAAGAGCAGGAGAAAAATAATAGATAACTCCACATCACATTGACGTAGTTCTTAGAATTCACAACGCATTTCTTCGTGCCCAAAGTCCCTGAGTTAAGATCTGGACTTGCCGCTTACTGCCTCTGTGATATTGGCCAAGTTAGGTAACCTTTCTGTTCCTTAATTTCTTCATCTGTAAAATGGGAATAGCAATACCTACTTCATAAGTTTCTGGGGAGGATTAAATAATTTAATATACAGCAAGTGCTTAGCCATAGTAAACGCTCAGTAATTTTTTTTTTAATATTTTATTTATTTCTAGGAGAGAGAGAGACAGCATGAGCAGGGGAGGGTCAGAGAGAGAGGGAGTGACAGACTCCGAAACAGGCTCCAGGCTCTGAGCTGGCAGTCAGCACAGAGCCCGACGCGGGGCTCGAACCCACGAACCGCGAGATCATGACCTGAGCGAAAGTCGGACGCTTAACCAACTAAGCCACCCAGGCGCCCCAACGCTCAGTAATTTTTACCTCTATATTTGAGGCTTGCTAAAAGCCCCCAGGTAGTCAGGTATGGAATAATAACCCCATTCTAGAGAGAAGGAAATTGAGGCTTAATTTGTCTAAAGTTAAGAGACAGAACGCGAGTCTTTGGAATCAGGGACAGAGTCAGAAGAGGGTGTGTAGTTGCTCAACAAATAATTATTGAGTGATTATTATGTGTTAGGAAAGATAAATACCAAAAGGCTCCTGCCCTGGAGGAAGGCACAGTTAATTCGTTTGTAATTTACTTGTCAAATCTTTATTACGATCTTGTTATGTAAGAGAATGTGTTAGAAATGAAAGTGGCAGGAGGAAAAGCACCTGACCCCAAACAGTGCTGTCCCACACTCCTAGCTTAGTGTTGGAATGAACTGTTGCAGACCCAAGAGAGTCTAGGAACACTTCCTAGAAGAGGTGACAACTAAACTAACATCTATTGTAGGTGTTACCAGAGGACAAAGAGCGTCCCAGTCAGAGAGAAGTCATGTTTAAATTCCCACAGGAGAAAGCAAAGAATCCGTATCTAGGTGTGGAGTTAAGTCTGGGGGAAGCATGCAGAGACTAGAAGGTTCATGTGGTATGGGGATGGATTGGAGTGAGGCAAGACTAGAGGCAGGAAAACCAGTTGGGGGAGCGGAAGGGGAAGGGGAGTGTGGATGCAGTGATCTGGATGGGAGCTGATGATTTACTAGGGCAGAAGCAGTGGAGATGTGGCTGTAACAGGGTACGCTGCTCTAGACAGAGTGCGATTGGGTATGAGAGCAGTGGACTGAGGCCTTTCCCTCTGTCTCCAGTTGTAATTTGTCTGTCTTGATCTTTAGTGTGGTTGCAGCTGTGGGATCGGGCGCCCCCTAAGGCCAGGGCAATACAGCACCATCTCTGAAGTAGCTGTGCAGTCTGGAAAGGGTACAGTGTCCCTTCCCTCAAAAGCTGCTGAGCGGGTGGTGGGCCGATGGCTCCTGGTCTGCAGCGGAACAGTGGCTGGAGCGGTCATTCTTGGTGGAGTGACTAGGTGAGTAATTTTCTCATAGCGAGAGTCAACTATTTGGGTCATCAGTAGAAACATGGGATGACTAAGGGGGAAGGGTCCTTAGGAATCATCTAGTCCAGCTCCCTCATTTTATATATGGAGAGGGACATGTCTGATGGCTTGCCCTGCTATAGAACAGTTTAGTTTTATTATTAGGAGCCCTTAAAGACTGGTTTAGGTCTTAACTGTTTGCTGTGTGTGGTTTTTTTGTGTGTATTTTCCCTCTACAAACAGTTTTCAAATTTGTCTCAAAAATTTTTGTATAGTTTGTTTGAATTAAATCCACATAAGTTCCATGTATCACAATTGGTTCATATGCCTCTTCGGTCTCTTTAAATGTATAAAGTGATTTTCTAGATTTAGATCCTTCTCTCTTCCTCCCCCATTCTTTGTAGTTTTTTTGGTATTAAAGAAATCCAAATGTTTTGTCCTATGGAGTTTCTCACAGTCTGGATTTTACTGATTGCATACTTGTGGTGCTGTTTAACATGTTCCCTTATCCCCAGTATTTCCTATAAACGGGTTGTTGCTTGATCAGATTCAGGTTGGGAACAGGGGACAAAATCCTTCATAGGTGATTACAACATTCATAAATATCTGGTGTCTATTAGAGATGCCAATGGCCATTGATGATCATTGCCTAGATCCATGATTTCATTGCAATTGCAAAATTTTAATATTTTAGTAGCTAACTCTAAAGAGAAACTTTCTCTCATCAACAGTTTGGTTATCCTAAGGTACAGTTTGTACAGTTTGTATAGGAAAGGCAGGATAAGTAAATTCCCTTTATTTACCAATTTTAAAAATAATAAGTTGGTTCCCAAGCGTCCTCCAAAGGTGATCAACAAAGTTTTTGGATTTTAAGTATTATGAGCTCATAGGTTTAAACGTGTTGATGTTTCAATCCATTGCACTGATGATTCGCTCAGATTGTTCCATCTTTAGTCAATGGGAGCCTCTTCAAATTGGCTCCAGGGTTTTGTTTCTGTTTTTGTCTTTTTGACATGATTCTAGTAACCTTTGATTCTTTGCTTTCTGGATATGATGTTCCAGGTTCATCTTATACATTTCTTGCCTCTGACCTAAAATCAGCCTTTTACTTTAGGAATCCTTACTCCTTTTGGTGAAAATACCTTCTGGTGTTAATACAGTATGTGTTGCTCAGATTTCCTCCATATTCCCTGTGTCCTTATTTCAAAATATCCTATGTTTTATAGCTGTTATGGGAAGCTGCAACACATTTGAATTGTATTAGTTTTAAATTCACTCAAGAATCTTGGGGCGCCTGGGTGGCTTAGTCGGTTAAGCGTCCAACTTTCACTTAGGTCATGATCTCGCGGTTCGTGGGTTCGAGCCCCGCATCGGGCTCTGTGCTGACTGCCAGCTCAGAGCCTGGAGCCTGTTTCAGTCTGTGACTCCCTCTCTCTCTGACCCTCCCCTGCTCACCCTGTCTCTCTCTCTCTCTCTCTCTCCTAGAAATAAATAAAACATTTAAAAAAAAAATTCACTCAAGAATCTAAACTGTTTTATACCTAACAAATCTCTTGTCCCTGTGTAAATAATGTCACTTATCCATGTAGGGCACATTTCTTAGGTGTAAGGGGTGACTTTACCTGTTAAGGAATACTAGTGAAAGAATGAGGTAAAGAGAGTTGAATGAAAAGGTTGAGAGAACAAGAAGTAAAGAAATGTGTACCTGATGGTGGCTGTTTCTGGTGAAATTTTAAGCAGTAAGAAGAAAGCAAGGTGTCAAAAAAGGATACAGTGAAATGATGTGTTTACTGTAAGAGGGGTTAAGTTCAGATCCCCGTTTCTGTAAACTGTTTATGAGAAATCCAGCATTGCATGGGGACTACACACGTGTGCACACACACCATTTCTTTCCTACCTTAAGGTTGACAGAGTCTGGCCTTTCAATGGTAGACTGGCATTTAATAAAGGAGATGAAGCCACCTACAAGCCAAGAGGAATGGGAAGCAGAATTCCAAAAATATCAGCAATTTCCAGAATTTAAAATGTAAGTATTATAGAAAATCAGGTAAACGTCCCACTAGGCCCTCTCAATCTTTTGTTTATTTCAGCATTTCAGAATAGTTAGATTCCATTATTATTTAAAAAAACTTTTTTTTACGTTTATTTTTGAGAGACAGAGAGAGACAAAGCACAAGTGGGGGAGGGGCAGAGAGAGAAGGAGACTCAGAATCCAAAACAGGCTTCAGGCTCTGAGTGGTCAGCACGGAGCCTGACGCGAGGCTCAAACTCACAAACCGTGAGATCATGGCCTGAGCCGAAGTCAGATGCTTAACCGACTGAGCCACCCAGGCGCCCCTAGATTCCGTTATTGATATTTGCTCCAGTAATGTTTAGTGAGCTTTCTACTCTCAACCTGCAGCTGCGGAGTGATCTTGAAGAAGGCAGACCTTTCATTTCAAGCTTCAAAACTGAGAATGCTCCTGTATTCTCTCAGTAAATAATAGTCAGATGGATGTTTCCTCTTTCTTCTTTTTCGACTTCCCTTTCACCCAGCTTGAATCACGAAATGACATTGGCTGAATTCAAGTTCATCTGGTACATGGAATACTCGCACCGAATGTGGGGACGCCTTGTGGGCCTTGCATACATCCTGCCTGCTGCCTACTTTTGGAGAAAGGGCTGGCTCAGCCGGGGCATGAAAGGACGTGTTCTTGCCCTGTGTGGGTTAGTCTGCTTCCAGGTGAGATGTATTCGAGTTTGGGAAACCAGAGATGCTTTCAGGAGCACCCTAGTTGCTTTGTTTTTAAGGAAGGAATCTGAGTCTGTATTACAGAGTGGGTAAGTGGATGAATTTCAGTGTTCCAGGCCTGGCCCAGCTCTGCCACTTAGTAGGGCAAGTTGTCTGCCTTCTGTAGGCTATGCTTTCCTTAGCTGTAAATGGGGATAATAATAGTGCCTACTGGTTAGGTTGTGTGACTATTAAATGAGATAGATCATGCATATATAGTCCTTAGTTCCTGGAACTAATAAGCATTCAGTAAGTATATTTTTGTGTCACAAGGGTTTCTTTCCTGTCATGGTTCTTTTCCTGGGTTCTTTTCTCCTCCCCTTTTCTGACTTGTCTGCTATATGCTTGTCTGTGCTAGAATCGCTAAAACAGCAAATTTGAAGACTCCCTGTTAAGGGTTTGGTGAGACTGAGAGACAAGAAAAGAAGTATGAGAGAAGGTACTTATGAGTATTTGGGTCATGATTCTAGGCCCTCAGAGAGAGTCTTAGAGCATCAAAGAAACATCAGGATTTGATCAGGAAGAAGCTAATTGGTTAATTTATTTCCAAAGTAGTAAGAATGTGAACCAATTAGGAATTAAAGAGGGAGATGGAAGAGACAAAACAGAGGCAATAGAAACAGGTAAAGAGACATTAGTAAAAGTCTAATAAGAACTAGGGAAGGGCTGGTGAAACAAAACGGAAGTTTATGTTAGAATGAAAAAACAAAACAAAACACTAAAAATAGACTCCCGGGAGGCAGAAATTTGAAGATGGCAGATAGGGTTATGGGAAGAAGAAAGTGGGGCTGGCAAATCACACTGTATACTCCTTTGTCTTCCAATGTCCTATGCAGATGGAATCAAGATAATTAGAACATCCAGGGTCATCACTAAGGATAAAGACTTGACCCAGAAGATTTCCTGAGGAGATCTGTGTTGAAGAGGTGGGAGAATCCCACCTCTTGACATGCTTCATTGACTTGGGAGGGTGGGGGGGAAAGGGCTAGATCTTATCTGTAGAAATGAAACTGACAGTTATTTGGTTAATTGAAAAAGTTAAAGCAGGGAATCAAAATAATACATACCTTGCACTTTTAAGCTTAAGCTTGTACTTTCATTACTTTTTTTTTTTTTTTTTTTTAATGAAGAGCTAAGACCTTTTCTTTGAGTCCTGTGATTGGAGTTTTACTTCAGATCTCTTGCAGTCCCCATAAACTGTTATTTCATTTTCCTTAAAGAAGAGTGGGAACTTAGACATTTGCAAAGCAATCTGCTGGCAAAGCCATACAAATTTTTATGATTCCCCTCCACCCAAAACTTTTATAATTGTCTATTCCTACTAACATGACAATAATTGTTTTTAAGCAGTTACCTTTATCAAAGCTTTGCTAAAGCATATGATCTAGTTTTTGTAGAAAAAACTCTGTTTATTCTTATATTTCACTGGTTTAAATAATGTTAAATTATATTAAGTTTTTCCCTATGGATGACACTTCTGTGTACTTTTCTCTATTTGGCTTATACTTGAATAAACTGTTCATCTAAACAGTTGTTAAGTATTTGTGGTGCTATATGTGAAAATGTGGACAGGCTACAAATCCTGGGGTACTGGGGATATGGGAAGAAGAGGTTAGGTGGCGAGTACTGATAATTGATAACTCGCTTTCTCAGATAGTAAAGTTGAATGGACAGATCCAACCGTATTTTATTTGTCTCTTCTGTTTTTGGTTTTAGGGTCTGTTGGGATGGTATATGGTGAAAAGTGGATTAGAAGAAAAACCAGACTCCTATGACATCCCTCGGGTCAGTCAGTATCGCCTCGCTGCCCACCTGGGATCAGCCCTTGTTCTTTATTGTGCCAGCTTGTGGACTTCACTCTCACTGCTGCTCCCTCAGCACAAGGTAAAAGTCGGTCTGCGCTGTTAATACATCTACACAGATGCTACCAGGGTCACAGGAACAGAAATTTGGCTTCTAATGGGAAGTTGTAAATCAAAATGCATGCATTCCCTTAGTAACATCTATCAATTTACCAGAAATTAGATCTAACCAAAGAGGACAGAAGCATTGAACTTTGAGACTCTAGAAAGCTTTGGAACTGCAAAGGAAAATGTGCCATTACTCTTTTGGGCTGGAGCAACTCATTCAAAGGAGAATTAGTACAGGAGCCAAATATTCTGTTAGCATTGCCTGTTGGAAAAAGTGAAAACATGAATTTTAGAAAGGTGGAAAGGAGTTGCAACAAGAGCTTTACTTGTGACTCCCAGAGGGATGGAAGAAGGCCAGAATGGGAGTTGTTTCTTGACCTTTGATGGTATACAGGACCCAGGGGGATTGTTTATTCTTTCGTTGGGGACCTATCATTTATCAAATTTGACAATGGAGTGATCTTGTGATCTTGCCTCAAATATTTTCTCTGCATGCTGATTAAAAGAAAATACTAGTTTTTCTAAAAATGAATATTATTTTAGGTATTAAAGTCATGATTGACCTGGATAACCTGTCCATGTAATGAAGTTTGAGAGGACAGTAGGACTGTTAGGTAGAATTATCCAATACTTGGAACCAGTAGCCTCAATCCCAATAAGGAGAGGAGTTGTGGACTTGGCAGTCATCCCCAAAGGGAAGCCAGATGGGGTCAAAACATCGGTGCAGTAGACAATCCGCAAGCTTAGATAATAGAGCATTTCCATCGTTACAGAAAGTTCCATTGGACAGTACTGATAGATTTTCCTACAATATCTTTCTAACGATACCTCACTCTTCATATACTAGATTATAGACCATATAAGGATAGCACTCTGACTTAACACTTTTGTATCTTTATGGTAACCTGTATATAAAGTTCTTAATAAATATTTGTTGATTCACTGATTGGTATCAGAAGTTGGCTACAGTAAAAATAAAATCAAAATTTGATATTACCAAAACACTAAATGGAAGAATCTCTACTTTAGCCACTTTATACAGTATTGATTCTGACTATAATTGCTTAACGCTAACTATCATAAACAGCATGAAAATCTAGTGCTGTATCTTAAGCCACATCATTTCAAACATGGTGAAGCATTTTTCCTTGAACAATGCAAATCATCACTGAACAGATATGGATTGAGTACTTACACATTGAGCACTGGGCTAGGATTATTTCACTAAGCAAGACAGTTCCTGCCTTCACAAAATTTACAGGATAGCAGGGAAGACATAGAAAATGTACAAATATAAAATATGATGCATGTTTGAACAGAATATCTGCTGGGAGTGCTCAGCCTATTTAGAGGGTCAGAGAAGATGAGGCCTCAGACTGTCACTTGGCTTTGGCCTTGGAGATCCTTGCTGATTCCCATAGGTTTTGCAGTAATATCTGAATGCTTTTCTTCTTTAGTTGCCTGAAACTCATCAGCTTCTGTGGTTGAGGCGATGTGCTCATGGAACAGCAGGCCTCGTGTTCCTTACAGCTCTCTCAGGTAGGACTCTTCTCATCCATCGTGCTCTCGTTTTGTTCCCCTTTTAGGGGGGAGTTTGTCCTTTCCTCTTGTATCTTCCTATTTCCCTTTCACACCAGCCTCTCTCGTACCCACCATCTTTACCCTGTTTTCTGTTCCTTTCTCCCTTCGAAAACCCCTGTTTTCCAGTCAGTTCAACACAAATATTGAGCATTTATCTGGATCCAGACAGCCTAGGTTCGAATCCTGGCTTTACCACTTATGAACTCTGTGACCTTGGGTCAGCTGTATAACCTCTCTGGGCCTTAGTGACTTCATTTGTAAAATGAGGATGATGGTATAGTGTAAATAATACATGTGTAGGGCTTAGAACAGTACCTGGCATGTAGCAAAGGCTAAATAAGTGTTAGCTCTTATTATTCTGTAATCATTATTGTTTGTGTTCTTACTCTGTATCAAGGTGGATCAGAGAGAAGTCCTGCCCTCAAGGGTGGTCTAAGATGAGGCGTTCAGTGAGGCAAAGAGATTGATATAGGTCTTTTTCATTCTTTAAATCACACCTCTACCCAACCTCTCTCACTCTAGAACTGCACTGTCCAATACATTAATCACTAGCCTCATATGACTATTTAAACTTAACAAAATTAAATAAAATCTGAAATTTAGCTCCTCAGTCACATGAGCTGCCACATTTCAGGTGCTCAGTAGCCATATGTGTCTAGCAGCTATTGTTTTGGATGGCAGATACGGAACATTTCCATCATCACAGAAAGTGCTATTGAGTAGCACTGCTCTAAATAAAACCATAAAACCAGTGATTCGTGCTCCCTCCTCTTTTTGGTGGAAGAACATGAATTTTGACTTTATAAATGCTATTTATGAAAACAAAGTCATCTTTGATCATATATAATGGATCAATCATCCATTAATTCATGGATATTTTAAGTGTTTATCCAGGATTTTGTTTATACATTTTTTTTCACTTCTGTGTCCTCTCAACAAACATTTTTTTGAGCACTTGGGGAAGACAGGTAATAAACAGTGAAAATATATGGCAGATGGTGTTCAGTGCTGTGAAGGAAAAAATAAAGCAGGATAAAGAGATAAAGGTGAGATTGGGGAAGTGCTGTCTTGTATGGGACCATTGGGGAGATCTCTTTGATAAGGTGACACTGAGTGGAGACCTGAGGAAATGAAGGAGTATATTATGCAGGTATCTGGGGGAAAAGCATATCCAGAATAGATCTGGTTCATAGTGGGATGAGGAGAGCATCAAAATCACTCAGGGGATGTTTCCATCCAATATGCCTTTTTCCAGAGCTTCCAATTCTCTCCTTTAGGGAAGGCATGCCAGAATCTTGGGGTGGGAGCAGGTGAGGATGCAGTTGTATGATTTTTTAAAAAATTCCCATGAGGATTATGATGTATGTTGTATATGATGTTTAGGAACCCTTCTGTAGATCTTTTTATTCTCTGATTATTCCTTTTTATCTGTATCTCGGATAACAAAACTTTTCCTATGTCAAAACTACTACTTGATCTTTTCTATATTTCGTTTTAATAAATACTATTTATGTTGGAATATAGGGGCCTTTGTAGCAGGGCTGGATGCTGGGCTTGTGTACAATTCCTTCCCGAAGATGGGAGAATCTTGGATCCCAGAGGATCTCTTTACCTTCTCCCCCATCCTGAGGAATATTTTTGAGAATCCCACCATGGTGCAGTTTGATCACCGGATTTTGGTAAGTCTGGCTGCTGGTTACTGGCTCCTGAGCACAGGGAGCCTCTCACAGGCTTTGGGGTGTCTGAGGCGTGCTAATGGCAGCACTGAGAGAGGGTAGAACACAGTGGACACTAGATTTCCTTTCCTTTTTTTTTTTTTTCCTATTTGTCAAAAAAATTTTTAATGTTTATTTTTGAGAGAGAAAGAGAGACAGAGCATGAGCAGGGGAGGGGCAGGGAGAGAGAGGAAGACACAGAATCCGAAGCAGGCTCCAGGCTTTGACCTTTAGCACAGAGCCCGACACAGGGCTCGAACTCACAATCTGCAAGTTCATGACCTGCGCTGAAGTTAGACACTTAAGTGACTGAGCCACCCTGGCACCCCATTTCCTCTTCTTTTTAGAAGAAATTTAGCACCGTTCCCTGATGTGACGTTTTTGTCCTAAATACCCACACCCCTTCCAGTCAAATTCTGGGTTTTGGGATACTGCCACCTTCTTAAAGTTCAAATATGCCTTTTACCATCTGGTAGGGGATAACTTCCCTCAATCCTGCACACACATAAGAGAGTCATTTTAGTGGAAATGAGGCTGAATAGAGAAGAGAGGGCAAAGACAGAGGTTGCTGAACATAGAATTATCAGAGCCAAACCAAAACTTTAGGGAGCTAAAATATTTGTCATCTTATTTAAGCCGATATTTATTAAAGGCCTGCTGTGAGTCATGTTAAGATTGGCTTGGTAGCTGGGCATGATACGTTGGAGCAGGAAAAGACTAGAAGCAAGGAGGCCAGCAGGAAGCAGAGGTGCCGTTGCCGTCTTGTAGGTGAGAGTGGGGGGGGGTGGGCTCTAGGCTGCGTGGGAGAGCAGGGCTTGAAGAGAACAGTGGATCACAGACAGGCTCTAAGGAGAAGACTGGCTATAGTAATGAAGGTAAGAAGATCCCCAAGTTTGTTCTGTGGCATGCTTAAAACACACCCAGAAATGGGGCTATTGGAATGAGCGTTGGGCTGGAGATGGAGGATCATCAGATTGAGGTGTGTTGGGTGTGAGATGACTGGAGCACACCCAAAGAGAGAGGTCCAGAGGACTCAGAGCCCCAAAGGCAGCACTGGCACTCGGGCCAGTTACCTTGTGTGGGCTCAGGCCTCTCTGTCAACATTTTCATAAAAGGTGAAAGATTTATACGATCTGAAGAGAAACCAGAGTATCTCTGTCAACATTTTATAATAAGTAGAGTCTAGTTGAAATTGTCATCCTGGACAGCTTTGAAAAGGAAAAGTGAAATAGATGTAAAAAATGATAGACAGACATTTCTCCTTGACTTCATGGAGTGGGAAAGGAGACCCTATTGCCAGTCCTTTACTGAAGTGGGGCAGGAATGAAAATGAAATTTACACTTGTTTTTAGCACTAGCTGTCAGCACCACTACCTCCTTTACTCGCAGCCCAGAAGAATAATAACTCTCATGTGCTGGGGTCAGACCTGCTTTAAAAATACAGATTAGTGGGGCGCCTAGGTGGCTCTGTTGGTTGAGTGTCTGACTTTGGTTCAGGTCATGATCTCACAGTTCCTGGGTTTGAGCCCTGCATCGGGCTCTGTGCTGACAGCTTGGAGCCTGGAACCTGCATTGGATTCTGTGTCTCCCTCCCTGTCTGACCGTCCTCTCCTCACACTGTCTGTCTTAAAAATAAACATAAAAAACAAAAAAACAAAACCAGGATTAGAGAAGAGATAAAGTTAGGCATAAGGATGCAAAGAATGACTTAAAAAGTGAGAACTATCCCTGGGGGAGGCACCCACTTTGGAAGTTGGATACGATCACTGAGAAGAGAGTGACAGTGTCTAGAGTGATAGGTGCCTTGGGAACATGAACATTTAAGTGGCAAGCAGAACATGGAGGAGACTGAGGAGTAATCACAGATAGAGCCACAGGTGGTTCTCTGCCTGGTACAAGGAAGTGCTTAGTGGTTACTCACTGGTTCTAGAGGAGATACATGTAAGATGAGTAGAAATCAGGAGGGCGGGACATTTCTTCCTGGCACTTGATGAGATGCCTTCGTTCCTGCAGGGAATCGCTTCAGTTACAGCTGTGACAGTGCTCTACTTCCTCTCCCGGAGAATTCCCCTTCCTCGAAGGACCAGGATGGCAGCAGTGACTCTACTAGCTTTGGCATATACACAGGTATAACCCACTTCATTTTGGTCTGAGGGAATCTCCAAAACTAAGTTAAAAAAGAAAGGTGACAGGCTAGGAGAAACGATTTCAATATTTATAATAGACTAAAAGATTAATTAACCAGAAAATAAAATGAGGATATCAATATACATAGTTCTCATAAGAGGAATGATGCATGGCCAATAAATATGAAAAGCTATTTAGCCTCATTCATGATCCGAGAGGAGCAGATTAAAATAATGCATGCCATCTTGTGCTTGTTAGAGTGGGGAAAATTTTTTTTTAAAGATTATTAGGTATTGGCATGGGCATAGGAAAATGGATACCTTCATCTATTCTTGGTGAGAGCATGAGTTAGTATAGGTTTTTTCAGAAGGTAGTTTGACATTATCTTTTGAAATGTTAAATGTATAATCCTTTGGTCCAGAAAACTGACTTCTTAGTTCCTGCCCTAGAAATATTCAAATGCACAAAGAGCTGTGTACAAGGAAATTCATGCTAAAATTGCTATGATAGTTTAAAAAGCTGGAAACAACCTAAATATACAAGCATGGTACACCCATACTTTGGAATACTGTATAGCAATTTAAAATATCTCAAGATACATATTGTTAACTGAAAAAAAGCAAGTAGCAGAATAATCCCATTTTCAAAAGCACAGAAGTATGTTTCTCTATAAACATATATGCAAAAGTATTCAGTGTATAGAAACTTATAAACTACTTTTGGGGAGGGGAACTGGGCTAGGGTGAAGGATACTTAGGGAGAATATTAGATTTATTTTATTTTGTTTGAATTTCCTATGTTGTTAGTATATTTACTTGTGAAAAATTTTAAATATATATTTTTAGTGTTGTGATGGGAGAATGTGGAGATTTATGTGTCTGGTTGTCTATGCCCAGTCATTTGAGTTTGTGGTTCCTGCTTTTCTTACTGTATTCTTTCCTGTGTAACAGGTGGGCTTGGGGATTAGCACCCTGCTGATGTATGTTCCAACTCCTTTGGCTGCCACTCACCAGTCGGGCTCCCTGGCTCTGCTCAGTGTTGCCCTTTGGCTCATGAATGAACTCCGAAGAGTCCCAAAATAATTCTGAGGATCAGCTTCCTAGCACTGAAAGTGCTTTTGAGAGCTCATCAGAAACCACAAGAACTTGGGAGTTTTCTAAAAGGATGTCTTTGGCATACCAAGTAGTTTCCAAACTGGTCAGAATATTTAAAATTCTTTGCCTGTTTTTGGGTGCCTGGGTGACTTAGTAAAGCTCCAACTTCAGCTTGAGTCATGATTTCACGGTTTGTGGGTTCGAGCCCTGCATGGTCAGTGCAGAGCCCACTTTGGATCCTTTGTGTCCCTCTCCTTCTCTGCCCCTTCCCTGCTCATGTGCACATGCACTCTCTCTCAAAAATAATTAAATATTAAAAAAATAAAATTATTTGCCTGTTTTTAACAAAGTCACTGGATTAAGAGTGTCATTAAGTATATTTAACTAAAGATTCATTTTTAAAATCTTTATAAATTTAGTGGCTGAGTTGGTTAAGCATTCAACTTTGGCTCAGGTCATGATCTCGAGATTCATGGGTTCAAGCCCCATGTCGGGCTCTGTGCTGACAGCTTGGAGTCTGCTTCAGATTCTGTCTCCCTCTTTTTTGCCCCTCCTGTGCTTATACTCTGTCTCTCTCTCAAAAATAAACATTAAAAAAAAATCTTTATAAATTTAGTTTTTTGTTGAAAACCATATTTAATGTCTGCCTTTGTTGCTTCTCAGTAGGCTGTCTAGGTTTCTTAATGTTAGCAAGCTCTTGATTCTACCTACATGAACTCTTGTCTCCTTGACCCCCTGAGTCATGAATTATGCTTTAGTAGAAATTCTTTATGATCTCAATTTCACTTCTGTCGGGTGAAAATTCAAAGGGAAGGACTGGCACACCTTAGGTAGCCAGACAGCCTTCAGCAAGAAATAGGTGTCTTCTAGTATCCTGATTTTCAAAATGGGGAAAGGGTAGATTTTGACAAGTCTATATGTAGCAAAATGGCTTAGAAGTACTTAGAAAAGGAGATAATCACCAGTAACACACTTGGATTCATCAAGCACTACCTAGTTCTTCTTTTGATAGCACTATGACATTGCTAGGTCACCTGGAATAGGTAGTATGAATCAGTTCCTGAAAGAGTTTCCTAACAGTCTCATGGATAAGAGAAATATGGCCTTGATGGTATATGTAGTACATGGATACGTAAATAAATTTTTGATTAACGAATTATAATTCTGGTCTCTCTTGACCTCTCACAAGGCTGTCTTATTTGGTTTTATTTTTTAAATTGGTGATTTGGATGAAGGCATCAGAACAGATTTGAGGATGGAACAACCCAGTCATAATTCAAAACAGTTCCAGAGTGGCACCATCAAGATAAAATTAAGTGGATTATAAATGTAACATCCTCCTTTAAATGAAATAGGTTGTATAAGTTTGGGGTAGAGAAATCTGGCATCCAAATGAAGAAGACAGGGATTTCAGTTGGCCATGGGCTCAACTTGCACCAAAAGTGTGATGACACAAAAATTAATGATGTTTCAGATTTCATCAGTGGAAGTGTCACAGCTGCACTCAGTGCAAGTGCTGTGTTTCACTATTGGTACCACATTTAAGGAGGACATTGACCACTTAAGTATGTCTCCAGGGGAAGGGACCAGGATGGTGAGGAGTCCAGAACAAATACCACACAGGGAATACTTGAAGGAAATAGGGGCATTTAACTGTAGGAGAACATGTGGACACAGAAGACCTGGGAGCAATGGGTAGAAGGTACAGAAAGCTAGTTTTTAGTTTTGTAGAAGGGAAGAGTCTGATCAAAACAAAAGCCCACCAGGGTCTGGCTGGTGAAGACGGGCAAAGTGGAAAGCAGATGCCCCAGCTATGCAACTAAATCACTGCTGAGCTCTGGTATGTTCTGCTCTATAGGTCCAGAGTTGTCAGATCTGATTTTTTTAAAGACACAAAACATTTAGATTTTTATGTGAAAGCTCTCAAGGGTTGGCAACTAATTTCAGGATTTTTTTTAAGAACATGATGCAGGCTGAAAACATGTGAGAGCCATAAATGTACTAAGGTTTGCCCATTTACAATCTCCATTCCTTTTCAACTCCAATATTCTGTGAGTCATTGTGACTTCACAGTTACCATCCTCAAGTGGTTCTTAGCAAAACAGAAGTAATAGTTTGATTTAAAAAAAAAAAAATTATCCTGGATGACTGGGGCTTACGCGATTGCTAGAAGCAGTTTCTAATTTTTTTCACATTAGAATTTTTGAAAATCCTGAAGCCCAATCCCCCCACTAAGACCATTTAAATCATGATCCCTGGAAGCAGTAATAGAGATACTTTCAGCTCCCTAGGTCATTCCAATGTGCAGACAAGTTTAGACACCCATGGCCTAGCCCCTAATAAACCAGTTACCTTAGAAAGTTTTGACCAGTGTATTCCCATCCCCTCAGAATTTACCGAACCCCATCTCATTTAATCTGATCCTATTAGTGTGTTAATGGGATGTCACCTCTTGGAATTCTTTAAAGAGAGGGAACTGCGGTCAGAGGTGCAGGTTCCATCCATTATCTCATTATTCCCAAACCCAGCTCAAAAAGCCGTATGCTAGTGTTCTAAAGTTCCCTCCAACAATGTAGCAATGAATGAATAAGTTCAAGTTCTAGATGTTTTTATTTTTTTTTAATTAAAGACGAGTAAGTTTGGAAAAACATTCTGGTTGCATTTAGCTATATAACTGTATTGTGCCTATCTATGAGCTCTTGGGGAATGGAGATTATCTGAATTATTTTTACGTTTGCATTATTCCCAGCACCAAACACATACCAAATATTGCATGAATGAATGGAAAATGGATAATTACCGATGGAGGTCCCAGACCCCTCTTTAAAAATAAGTCATCATATACCTAGAAGATTAAAAGAATTTCCCTTAAAGTCTGTCAATAATTTGTCAGTTGTTTTTAAAACATCGAGAAATGAAAACACCTGGCTTTCTTATCAATCCAGAATTTTGTTTTTAACTTATACTGACAAATGCTGTCCCATTGTAGAGGAGGTCAAGATTAGCTACTGTCTAAAGTGACGGCCATGATGTTAGGATAACCAGTTGATTTGCAGCAATTCTTCCAGTTCTGGAATGTATGGTGGGTTATATATTGGCATATGAAACACACATACCCATGTCCCTGCTTGCATTGCACTTTTTGTTCAACACCGATTTAACAGTATTTAACAGAATTTTAAGAACTGTTGAGCAAAATTATTTAATGTGAAGCATTCGAAAAAACATGATCTTAGCAACCCTCAAAAGTGATGCAATATAGGCAGCAGTCAGTTTTTTAAAGTGTGAAGGGAGTGTCTAGCTGTGGGTCATAATAAAAAGATGCCTTTCAACACTGCAGAATTCATTGTTCAAGGCAGAAATAATAGAGATAAGGTATATATCAAGGCTTCAACAAAAAGGGGAATTGTGGAATGAGAATTTCAAACACAACATAATGATAGCAATATGAGATTAAAGTAATTGTCAAGGATCCTTGTTGCAGAGAAAGCATTATGAAGCTAATAAGGCGCAGAGACTTCACCATGAGCAGTTTTAACAGGCCAAACTCTGTCAAGTCCTCTGCAGGAAGGCCTTAGAAAGCATCAGGGCTACCTTAATACTAGAGAAGCAGAGTGGCAGGCCACCAGAGGGTCTATGAGTGGCTGTACTACTTAAAAAGGAGAGGCTCATAAGTAGATGTGTCCTCAGCTTGCCTGAAGTCATACATGCATGGCTATAAACATCCTGTGAGTCAAAAATGTTTTTCAACTTTGGTTTTTATAAAAATGGCAGGCCATGATTGAATACACTTTAAAAGTAAAAAGCCCTTATAAGTAATAACTCAATTTCACAAATAAAAGGATCTCCTTAGTGCTCAGACTTCCAGAGAAACAGAATCGTCAACAGATGACATCCTCTGTCCCTTTAATAACAGTACTGACAAATTAGAAATAATGAATTAGAGCAAAAGAGAAACACTTATGTAATACAAGGGGAAGTATATTAGTATATAAAATAAGAGTTCTTGTCTTTTAACTAATATTTTTTGTAGCACCAAAGAAATCAAGTTTGACAGAGCATATGGCCCTACTAGCAGGATGCTCACACTGAGCATGACCTAAGAAACTAATCTGGGAGAATCTGAAGTACCTGTTGCTACTTCTACCTTAATTCTTGATCCCAAATGAAGTTACATCACATACCACAGCACAAAGGGAAATTAGATACTAGTTCTGAGTTAGTAAAAAAAAGTTTAAAGACAGCAAAAAGAAACATTTTGTTTCCGTAAGGGAGTCTGAGAACTGCCCAAGAAATATAGCCAAGTTCATTAATGAGGTAGATCTAACAGGCATTTATACTTTAAATAATTTTGACTATAACCATCAAATGAATTGCTCAGATGCAGTGGTTAAGGAAATTGTACAACATTAAGCAAACTGTTTATAAGAAACATCTAAAATGTAAAAGTATTAAAAGAAATAGAAGGTAGAATAGATGTAGTAACAACTGGGTGCTATTTCTAACAAAGTGTTTCTTTCATATTTTATTCCTAAATGTGAGCAAAGCCATCATAAATAAATATCAGAAGCAATTATAAAGATTGGGCATGGTTACTTGCAAAGAGTTATAAAGAATAGATTCTATTGAACTACACAATCTTGCAGGAAGATTCTGTCAATGAGAAGTTCATTGCAGCTGTCAGAGGTGTGTGTCTGTAGTACAGAAAATAGAGAAAACTGGATTTGGGAGACCACTCACTCAGACTTTGCACATATTACTATTGCTCTGTGCCTCAATTTTATCAGTGATAAAGCCAAAGCGGTTAACAAAAAATAGACCTCTAAAATCGCAGCTGTAAAAATCTCATCTTCTGAAATTTATGAATAATGACTGCTGTTGGAAACTCCATTCCCATCAACCTTCATATAAGTGATAAAGTAGGAGATGACCACTGGCTCTCTTGGGCATCCTGTCCTTTTAAACCAAAGGCCAAAATCCTGTTCCTGAAACTCTATAATTTTCCTACATTCTCTCCTGCCTTTAGTTTCTAGGCCAATGGTTCTTCCTTTGGAACTAGTGTCAGAGCATCTTTTTTTTATAGATAAAAAAGAACCAGAGAGGGCAAGTGACTTACCTAGAGTACCAGAGCTGGTCAATGATAAAGCCTGCTCTAGAATCCAAGTCAGCTGTTTGTAAAGTCCAGTGTTCTTTCCCCTAAATCAGACCACCCACTTGTCTTTCACTCTTGATAAAAAGCAAAACAAAAGCATGGAGATAGGGGCGGGGAGAGCATCTATTTATATAACACCAGTGAGAAGTATAAGTTATTTTATTTCAAAAATGAAAATATGTGTGTGAAAGCATCATGCTCCCTGATTTCAGACTATATTACAAAGCTATAGTAATCAAAACAGTATGGTATTGGCATAAAAATAGACACTAGATCAATGCAACAGAATCAAGAGCCCAGAAAGAAACCTATGGTTTATTTAATAAACCTATATGGTCAATTAATTTCTAACAAAGGAGGCAAGAATACACAGTGGGGAAAGGCAAAGTCTCTTCAATAAATGGTGTTGGGAAAACTGAACAGCCACATGGAAAAGAATGAAACTGGACCACTATGTCACACCACACACAAAAATTGACTTAAAATGGATTAAAGGCTTGGCTATAAGACCAAGACCAAACCATAAGACTCCTAGAAGAAAACATAAGCAGTGAGCTCCTTGACATCTCTCCTGGTGATAAGTTTTTGGATCTAACTCCAAAGACAATGGCAATAAAAACCAAAATAAATAAATGGGACTTTTGCAAACTAAAAAGCTTTCTATATGGCAAAGGAAACCATCAACAAAGTAAAAAAGCAACATACTAAATGGGAGAAGATACTTGCAAATCATAAATAGGATAAGGGGTTAATATCCAAATTATAAAAAGAATTCCTACAACTTAGTAACAAAACACAATCTGATTTAAAAATGGGCAGAGGACCTGAACAAGACATTTGTTCAAAGAAGACATGCAGATGGCCAACAGGTACATGAAAGATGCTCAACATCAGTAATCATCAGAGAAATGCAAATCAAAACCATGAGATATATCATCTCACACCTATCAGAATGGCTATTCTCACAAAGATAAGAACTAACAAGTGTTGGTGAGGATGTGGAGAAAAGTAAACTATTGCGTACTTTTGGTAGGAATGTAAATTGATAGAGCCACAGTGGAAAGCAGTAGAGAGGTTCCTTAAAATACTAAAACTGGAACTACCATGTGATTCGACAAGTCCACTTCTGGCTATTTATTTGAAGAAAATGAAAGCAGTAATTCAAAAAGATATCAGCATCCCCATGTTCACTGCAGCATTATGCACAATAGCCAAGATAGGGAAACAGCCAAAGTGTCCATCGATGGATGAATGGATAAAGAAGGATACTATTGAGCCATAAAAAAGAATGAAATCTTGCCATTTGTGTGTGACATGGATGGACCTTGTGGATACTACGTTAAATGAAATAAGCCAGAGAAAGACAAACACCATATGGTTTCACTTATATGTGGAACCAAAAAAACAACAAAACTCATAAATGCAGAGAACAGATTGGAGTTGCCAGAGTCGGGGGAGACGGGGGATTGGCAAAATGGAAGAACAGGGTCAAGAAGTACAAACCCCAGTCATAAAATCAGTAAGTCATGTCATGGGATGGAACGTTCAGCATGGTGACTACAGTCAGTAACACTGTGTTGCATGTCACGTAACTTTCTATGGTGATGGGGGAAACCAGACTCATTGTGGTGATCATGTTGCAGTGTATACAAATAACAAGTCATTACGTTACACACTTGAAACAAGTATATGTCAACTGTACTTCAACAACACAAATATGGATGTGATAATAAATGTTAATACCTAAAAAGATTAGCTTAACAGATGCATGGCAGACTCCATCAACCACGTTTTAATAATTACTGCCCAAAGCCCTGGAAGTTAAAGAAAGCTGTCAGGCTGAGGAGAAGGAGGCAGAATCCTTTGGACGACATTAAAGGATAAACACAAGGTTGTTGGAAAGTGATTAAATTCCCTACACCAAGGAAAATCAGTTCAAGGAGTTAAGATACAAAGATGGTAAAATTTGGCTTAGAGTTAACTACAACTTATGTCAATGTAATGTCATATAATTGGGTGTTATACGTATTTTCATTATGTTCTAGTAGTAAGAAGTCAGAGAAAAGTGATGGGTTCTGCCATTGAAAGACTAATAAAGCATCAACTCCTAGCAGCATGGACTCTAATTCTGACATCTGTGACCTGTCTCACTAATGATAAAAGTACTAAAGCAGTTTGGGTTCATTTTGCTGGTATCAAGAAGACTGGCTGGTAAGATTCAAATGAATGAGTGGGATGTGAATTTAATGAAACCATAATTATCTTCACAAGGAAACTACTGAAAGTACAGAAATGCAAATAGAGATCTTAAAAAGTCTTCAACAACCGAAGGCAAAAAGAGGGGTAGAGGCAAGGTAGACTGGTTCTATAAGGGAGACTCTTAAGAGACAGCAGTATGAGGAAGTAACTGGCCCTTGGAGAATAAATGGCTTGTTTATAGCTAATGAGACTGCATGTAAAATTTTTAATTGGGAGCAATGACAGAAGCACAGGAACCAATATCAATAGCAAATATTAGTTTTTCTGAGCAATAGGGTAAAAATTTGTCCTTACATTTCTACCATGGGTCTCTGGGAAGTCATACTTGTGGTAACAAGGACAAGCCTAGACCCTATAAGATCAAAATAATAAACAGGATATAATACACTACACAAAAACTCAAAAAAGTATTTAAAATAAATTAAGAATAAGAAATACATTTACACTGAAAAAATGATAGGCATAGGGAATCCTGAGCTTCTCAATTATAAAAAGAACACAAAAAGTAGTATCAACCTGAAAGGTGGTCATAATGATTAAATAATATACATAAATTCTTAAGAGTGTATGATACATAATAAGTGCTTAACAAATGTTATAACCAGGAGAAAGAATAACTTCACTGATAAGAGCTTTCAAACTGGACTCATCACCACCTCCTCTCTGCTTCAGCTTCATTTTGAGTACATGAATGTGATTATTATTGGCCAATTAGGTAGCTTTTGACCAGATCATTGACCAGATCTCACAAGAAAAGCAAAAGATAGTCTTTGGAAACCAAGATAAGGGAAGAAGAAAGAGTGCCTGAGTAGGCACTGGCTAGCAAAAAACATATTCGGACATTATTTTTTTTTAATGTTTTATTTATTTCTGAGAGAGAGAGAGAGAGAGAGAGCGCAGGGGAGGGCCAGAGAGAGAGTGAGATACAGAATCTGAAACAGGCTCCAGGCTCTGAGCTGGCAGTCAGCACAGAGGCCGACGCGGGGCTCGAACCCACGAACCGTGAGATCATGACCTGACCCGAAGTCGGATGCTTAACCGACTGAACCACCCAGGCGCCCACTGGACATTATTTATAAACAGAAGTCACAAGGCGAGGTCTCACTTGCAGTGACACAAAGATAAGAAGTCAAAGATCAGGGCAATTTAGAATTCTTAAAAATGAAAGGAAATTGCTGTGACATAAGCCCTAATGAAAAGTAAAAAAATATTTCCAGAGGGACCTATAAGATTCTTTGTAGATCAATTTTTATCTAATTTGAAAACAATTTAAGATGCATCACCTCTTCACCTACTAAGAGTCAGCATACTTATTCATCTCGGTTTATTTCTTGGAGGATCTTGATTTATTTTTGTTTTATGAGGCATTTAATTCCTTCCTGCTCCCAGTATGGAAATTTATGTTTTAATATTTCCAACTTTTTCCTCATTAAAGGCAGGATCATTCCCTCTACCCATCTAAAGCTAAAAATAAAGTGACAGAAAAGAAAGCCCCTTCAAGTCTAGGAGCATATTCTTGGGCAGGACATTCAAGGCTGCATACAGGGAAGGATGAAACATGAAGAAGATCCCGTGGGGGAAGGTGTGAGTTGATGAAAAAGAAATCCTCATGCAACTTAAAGGCTACATGTAGAGGAGGAACAAAGCTCCTGAAGGGTAGTGGATTAAAATGTAATCATATGCCTTTCTTCTCTCCTCATTAATGGGAAATGCGGTCTGTGACTGAGTAATCTCTTAACAAATGTTCTGAAAGATGCCAGGTAGCTTATGAACAGATTTACCTATTTTTTGATGTTTAGAATTTGCTTTTTTTCAGACATTCCAAGTGTCAAATTGGGAAAATTTCTATTTCTCAGAAAAATATGAATAAAAGCTTGGATTTTAATTGCCTTTAAATTAAATTGGATTTAATTGCCTTTGCCCATTCTCCTGATACTGTTGTTCTTTCCTTCTTTAAAAACAACCCAAATACACCTCCCTTCCCAAACTACATATTGACTGCAGTGAAATAAAAGAATTCTTTTTGAGTTTTTCTGTAAAGGGGCTCACAAAAATATGCCTAGAGACGGTGACTTAAAACCAAACAAATCCAGATCTCCAAACCCATCAGTTTTTCCATAAGCACATTTAAGGCTCAAAAAGAAAAAATTAATGCCCAAACAGCCAGTGAGGCATATAGTCACAGAAACATTTTCTATCCTGGTCACACCAGGTATCACATAAGATACTGTCAAAATCTTTGATTGACCATTCATTTAGAAGGGGTTCTAACCTTGTAAAATCACATGATTAACACCAGCAATACTATGTCAGGGATCTCGGACCACACTCATGACGGCTTCTTTGTCAAGTAAGCAAAGAAACTATGTTATTTTGGTTGCTCAGAAGTTCATATCTGTTCCACTGAAATGCAAATATCTTGGATCCCTATGAAGGGGTGTGGATCTCCACATAAATTATATCTCTGCTACAGAGAAAGAAGGGGCTGCTGCACTTGCTGGAATGTCTTCAGCTTTGTATCAGATGCTCCAAATTTGGTTTCAACCAGACTTCCAGTTTGCCGAATGCCAAACTTCATGCTTTAGCAAGGGGAGAAAAGTCTAGATGCCCGGAATACACTAGACCTCTCAGATAATGGAGTAGAAGCATGCTTCAGTTGGACTAGGGTTGGTCCTCTTTGTTAGCACCAAACTCTCATTATTTAGTTCTTCACAGACTAAATCAGCTTCTCTTAGAGAAGAGGACCTGGATACTGAGAAGGAATTAAAGTAGATATTAAGGTAGAAATTCCAAGGCCAAATATCCCAAGGTCAGGCAAAGCAGCATCTGAGGCCAGTACAAGAAAGTGGTGGAAGTCAACGGGCAGCAACCTGGCATACTCGAGCTTCCCAAGGCTTTTTTCGGCCTCACGGCCCTACCTGTACCCCAATCATGGGCACCACCTCCTCGATCCACAGCAAGTCCAATGGAGCTGAGGTTCTAGTTTGTCGGTGGTGAATCCGGCGTAGCCGCAGAAGGTACAGGATGATGGCCAGTAGCACCACCAGGATACAGGCGAAGAAGAGATAGTGGTTGTAGACAAAGGAGAGACGGAACCAGCTACCATGGGCCTGCCGGACACCTTCTTGCCGTAGATCCCTAGGTAAGAGTTTGAAGGTGAAAAGTAATGTTAATTTCAAAGAGAAACATTCACGCTGACTTAAAAGGCCAGTGGTGTTATGTCATCTATTCCATCCATGCAAATATGCTGATACCAGCTCCACAGAGCAAGCAAAGCTAAAGAACATCTCCAGCCTCCAGGCCTCCAGCCTTGCTATGTGATTCCTCCTGTACTTTCTTTTCCAGGGCCTGCAGAGGGAGCCTCAGAGGCCTACATCCTCCACAATGGGGACAAAATTAGAAGACAAAAAAGTTAACAGTGAGATAAGACTATCATTTATAACATTAGTCTTAACAGTGGTCCCATGCTATTCTGTAAATACATATATACGGTTTGTAAATATGGTTCTAACAAGAATAGGGTGGCCCCGGGGCGCCTGGGTGGCTTAGTCGGTTAAGCGTCCGACTTTCGCTTAGGTCATGATCTCGTGGTTCGTGGGTTCGAGCCCCACGTCGGGCTCTGTGCTGACTGCCAGCTCAGAGCCTGGAGCCTGTTTCAGAGTCTGTCACTCCCTCTCTCTGACCCTTTCCTGCTCACACTGTCTCTCTCTCCTAGAAATAAATAAAACATTAAAAAAAAAAAAAAAAAAAGAATAGGGTGGCCCCTAAATCCAGTCAATAAATCAGAGTATACTGAAATCCTGAAAAAAATTGGCTATGCTTCCTGAGAGTTTAGGATATATCTAAAGAAAGCAGGGACCTGATCAACTGTATTGTAATCCAGAAAAAAATGAGGAGACATGTAACCCAAAGTGAAGGAGCCTGTCTGCTTAGAACAGAAGCTGCACTTTGGTGGTCCAGATACTAGATCTATTTTTGTCTTGTTTGACCTGCAGTGTTTTCTCTAAACGTGAATCTCCAAACTGAAAGACTGCTTATAAAATATGGATTTCTGGCTTGTCCTGACAAATGAGAGCTGGCAGGTGCTGGGACAGCACTTCCGCATGACAGGAGTCAGCCCTTCATCTGGAGCACATACTCTCCAGCTTCCCACTTCTCTCACATCTATCAGCTGCCTGGTTTCTGGGCTTAAAGAAACAGAGCGCAAAGATTAAAACTTCATTTTAGTTTATCCTAAATAATACAGGGGAGAGAGTACCTAAACATTATCCCAAATATCTTATCTACATAGAGCAAGACATCAGGCTATCATAGCTTAATAACAATACCCCCTAAAAGCATCTTGTGTGCTTTGTTCTAAATTCTGGCTCACCAAAAGTCTAAGTCAATGACATGATGTCTAGAGTGACTCTACCCATTTGGAAAGACTGCTCTATACAGACAGCCTCCCCTAGCTCTCTAGTCAGAAGGTTTCTACAGTAACCTAAGAATGACATTCCGTTTTGTCAGTCAGTATCTCAGAAATGGATAGTAAGAGCTCAGTCCTAAAGAATGATTCATTATGGATAAACAAATAAAACTGCATTCCTGAAGTTGCAAAACTAGAGAACAAACTCCAGATTAAATTCTCAACATTCTTTCTGTTTCAACGTAACTGGTTAGTAATAATAGTTCATAGGGTAGTAACACAGGGGGGTTAATTTGGGTGCATTTTTGAGGGAGAGAGGTCACTTAAGAAACCTATTCTGAGACACCAATATCCTCTGAGTTCAAGATGCCAGATCAGTCCACTTTACCTGAGGGGTAAGAATCGTGTTTTATACAGAATGGCTCCCAGTGTCCACTGAACCTCTCGGTCATATACCAGTTGGGCTGTCTGAAGGTGTGGGTAGTCATAGGGAAAGTGGAATCCTTCATGAAGGACTTGGTACATCCAAGCTGATTTAAAACACTGATACCTGTGTAACAAAATAATAAATATTTTTTTAAAGGAGAAGAAGAAAAAAAAGAACTAATGCTTTCCATATACTCCCGTTGGATGTCAAAAAAGATCCATCTCCCCAGTTCACCTTCTTCGCCTCTAGGTGGAGCCAAATCTGAGCTACTTTATCTTGATGTTTACCACAAAAGTGCAAGGAATACCTTTATGCCATAATGATATTGTTGACTGTGGTTTTCTCTTTCTTTTTATAAGAGTCTTTATTTTTAAGGAACCTGCTATACTTACATGATATCTGGGATTTGTTTCAAAATAACCCTATTGTGGTAAGAGGGGAGAAGGGTGGGAAAATAGATGAAACAAGACTGGCCAGAAGTTGACAGCTGTTAGCAGAGAAGCAGGGTGACAGGTATACAGAAATTCATTAGACTATCCTATTTTTGTTTATGGTTAAAATATCTTAACTAAAATGTTTACAAAATGGGAGGACTGGTGAAGCAAACTGGCAAAATATTGGTAGTTGTTGAAGCTGGGTGAGGGTTTATTTACTGTTCTATTTCTTTGTGTGTTCAATATTTTCATTAAAAGTTAAAAAAAAAAAAACAAAAAACACCATGGGGCGCCTAGGTGGTTCAGTCAGATAAGCGTCTGACTTCAGTTCAGGTCATGATCTCAGTGCTCGTCAGTTCGAGCCCCGCGTCAGGCTGTGTGCTGACAGCTCAGAGCCTGGAGCCTGTTTCTCATTCTCTGTCTTTCCCCCCAGCCCCGCTCCAGCCCTCTCCTGCTCACACTCTTTCTCTCGAAAATAAATAAGCATTAAAAATAAAATAAAAAACAAAAAATAAAAAAACACCACTTTTGATTTCAAACCACTTGGAGAGAAACTTTTAGTAATCCTGGTTTCCCTTCGCTTCACCAAAATAGGAAGCCTATCATTCAGAAAATCTAAATCTAAAATAATCGAATTCTTGTTTCTCCTTCAACTGAAAATCCCATCTGTATTCTTGTTGCTCTCTCTCCCTCATAATCTGCTGTCTATGTTTTCAGGCCACATCTTAAGGAGAAAAGGAAGTTACTTACTTGAGCCGATGCTCATCTGCATGTGATGAAAAGAGGCCATTCTTGAATCTCTGAGTTAGGACTGACCAAGCCATGCCACAGTAATCCTGGAACAATCACAGAGAAACAAAGGAACATGAAATTAAAGCCAAACTAATTTCCCTACAGTCTCAGGTGTTCCACCTCTAAAGTTACTTGTGGGCCACTAGTTGACAAAGGAAAACAGAAATGCCACATTCATTCCCTGGACACAGTGCAAAGTGAGTGCCAGAACGCAGGCTGCTGGGGGTCTCCTTTTTATTCCCATCATCTCAAGTCCAATACAAAACAAGCCCATCATGGCTCCTGAGCCTCTCTGGCTTCAGAGAAGGGTCAGGTTAGGACAAGAAATAGCAACAACAAAGCTAAAGGGAGCCTCATTCTACTCTATGTAAGACAGGCAGGTAAAGCAGATGGAACAGAATGGTCAAATTCTACCACTGGCCTGTTGCCCTGCTATAGTTCTCTGCAAAGAATCATTCCTTTCCTCTGAATGTCTACTTTGTGCCAGCTGCTTTTCTAGGTACCAGGGAGACCTAGCAGTGAACAAAACAGACAAACTTTCTATCCTCATGAAGCTCACACTCTAGTGGTAAGATGGACAATAATACATATACATATGTATTATATGTAATACATATACATGTATGTATACATAAGACATGTACACACATATTTACATATAGAGTGTGTTATATGACATAAATGCTCATGGGAAAAATATAGCAGGAAAGGGAAATAGGTGATACTGGGGAGGGCTGCAGTTTTGGACATGGTTGCTAGGGAAAGTATCACTGGGAAAATAACTGTTGAGTCAAAGTAAAAAAACAAATTAAGGGAATAAAATCATCTTTCTTTCACCTGGGAAAGAGAACATATGAAGCCACTAGCAACTTGAGTAAGGAGTAACTTGAGCCCTTTGGTGTTCAAGGAAATAGATTCTGAAGAAGTTTTAAAATGAGTGAAAGATGTAGGCCATGAACAGTTAGGCAGCCCTAGATGCTAGAAAGGAAAAGGAATATAAGTGTATTCCCGGAGGCTGGAGAGGAAAGAACAAATACAAACCAGGTTTTCCTCAATATTTCTTAGGGACTACCTTTAGGGAATAGAATAATAAGAATAGTACAGATATTATTAAGTTGGAAGTCTTCTATCCAAAGAACTCTAGAGAATTGTAACAAAGCAGAAAGAAAAGAATAAAAAAAATATAAGGTCAGATTCTTCCCGTAAGTTTCTCTGCTAAAAGAGAGATCAGAAAGATAGGCAAACCTTCAGAGATGAACCTAAATTAAAGGAGCTATAGAAAGCTAGCAAAACTTTTACCTGTTCAGGTAACTAATGATCTAAGCCTATAAGCTGCTAATGTCCTATATATGCTCTAAATGAATTTTTATTTCTTTTGCATTTTAGTTTTTTTTTTTTTTAATGTTTTATTTATTTCTAGGAGATAGAGAGAGAGACAGTGTGAGCAGGGGAGGGTCAGAGAGAGAGGGAGTCACAGACTGAAACAGGCTCCAGGCTCAGAGCAGGCAGTCAGCACAAAGCCCAAAGCGGGGCACGAACCCAAGAACCGCGAGATCATGACCTAAGCGAAAGTCGGACGCTTAACCGACTAAGCCACCAAGGCGCCCCTGCATTTTAGTTTTAAATAGTACTTCCGGTGACATTGCTTTTCCCAATATCTTTTTAATATTCCAAGTGACCCTATATATCACTCTGGCCTCTGAACAAACCAAGAAAATCAAAGTGGACTTGTCCACCTGTGTGACATCATTTCCAAAGGCACATTACAACTGAGAATACCAAGTGAGGGGAAAAATATCTGGGGATGACACTTTTGACCACAAACACTGAACAAGATTATTGGAGAGCTACAGGAGAAACCATTATCCACCACCACAATTTTGGAGCTGGGTGATAATTAGGGTGATCAAGACATATATGGAAACCTAAGCTTAATGAACTAGAAGACAGTATAGCACAGTGGGCTCCTTAACATCTGAGCCCACATTCTCATCTGTAAAACAAAGGCTCACAGGGATCCTCTTGTGAAGAAATCAGTGAACTGAGGCATGCAGAGCCCTCTGCACAGCACCTGGCACAAAGTTAGGCATACAAAAATGGCTGCTTCTGGTATGAGTCATCTTTACTATAAACAATGTACCTGAGCAGCCTTGGCAAACGTCGGCCCATGGTAACGGCCACCAATGCGTAACACATCCTCTGTACAGTAAAAAAACTCAGAGAAACCGTAGAATTCGCTGTTGTTGAAGTCAATTGGTGACTGGTAGATGCCGTTCAACGAGGCCTGGCTGGTGTTGGAGCGAGCCAGCAGGGGGCTCAGCATTGTCCTGCAAGAAGCCCAGTCTCCTCTTCCTCGGATATGCAGCACCTGGCTGTTCCTCTCCACTACATCTGTGAGTCCCACAGGCAGGCAGGGATCCAGAAATGGATTGTCCGGACTCAGACCTGTCTTCTGGCCCAGCAACCTGCCGCAACAACAAAAACAAATGACTAATGAACTCAACCTCTTCTAAGAAATGCCTACAAGATACCTGGTCAAAGAATGGGCTTCACAGATATTTTGTTTACATGGCATCCCTAGAAACAAGAACGGAGTAGCAACCATGCGGTCACAACACATGAACATTTACCTTAAGCAAATTCAATTTAGTAGAAACAAAGGAAAGAAGGAAGGATGGAAGGAAGGGATGTATGGATGGAAGAGAGGGAGGCGGGAAGGGAGGGAGGAAGGGTGGAAGGAAAAAAAGGAGAGAAATATGGCAGTGATCAAATTTTGTTCAACCTTTTAATCAACGTGTATATTTCCCAATGTATAGTGAAACAAGAGATATCAATCTGCTGGTCTCCATCTAGTCTTTGTTCCCACCGTCTCTTAAAAGTGCCAAGATCTTGCCACACTGAGTGTGGTTCTAACGTTTGGCAAAACACCTGGGAAGAGCTAAAGAGGGAAGGTTGGGAGAGTTTCCTGAGGAAGAGACTGCCTCAGTGATGCAGTGACAAGTGCTGGCCAGAGGAAGGACCTGCCTGGCCCGACGTGGGAAGGATGGGTAGGGGCAGGTTCTAATCCCTATCCTGGTCATCACATGGTTCTGGCTGTTTCAAGTCTGCACTTGCCCAGCAACAATATTCCCATTCCTAAAAAGTTTAGATGTCCGAGGACAGATATCAGTAGAGGCCAAATAACTTTGCCAACTGGAGTTATTCATCAGTTCCTAAAAAGAGAAATGTTGAAGGGTTGACTTCCTGGGATGAAGAAGCCCCCACCAGTGTAAAGAATGAAGGAGGGAATGGGAACATGGCAACATGACAAAATGCTCTGGAACAACTGGAACCTATTTTAAGGATGGGACATCAACTCTTAAAAAGACTCAGAAAATCATATTAAGAAGAAAGGACCATTAGGTTTTGACATCCCAGGAAGCATGGGTTTGTCTAGTAGAGTAGCAGCTACACAAGATGAATGATCAGTCTTCTGAATTAGGAACTTGGCAAGAAAATACCAATGTACATATTGATGTGTGGTGGCGGCCATGATGCAGCCTGCCGAGTTCTAAGACAGGAAACAGCAGACAAAAGAAAAGGGCACCAGAACAACAAAGGAAGGAAATGGAAAAGGAAGCACAGCAGCTAACAAAGATGGAACAAAACAAAACTGGTGTAAAACTTTCATAATTGCTCTTCAGATGCCATACTACCAACAGGAGCGATCGGAGCTCCACAGCCCAAGCAACATCTGTACAGACTAAAGAGTATTTTCAGAATGCAAATACACTGCTTGGTTTTAAGGCATTTGTCCATTACCCAGGATAACAGAAGTCTCCTAAAACACCCTGGCCTCTTGGTAGTTGAGACTTACAAAAATGAAAAAGAATTAGGAGACAGTATTTTCTTGAATATGGTCCCAAATGAGGCAACTGCTGTGGAGCAATTATTACAAATAGTCTATACAGGTACTTCTTCAAATTAGTATTTCTAACAAGACAAATGGGGGTAAATAATTTTATAGTGATAAAAAAAACCTCTGCTGTTTTATACCTCCTTCAATGTACAATATACAATAATTTTAATGATACAATAATTTTAAATACTAACAAATGATACAATAATTTTAAATACTAACAAAACCCTCACAACTATTTTTACATTACAGTCTAAATACTTCATGTGGTAGCCAAATGAAGAATCAGTGATCTGTCCACGCTGCAGGGAACACTGGCTATTCTGGACTTCACGAGAGAACAATGTGAAAGTAAATTCTAACTTCACGTTTTTTATCTTTTATGTGCACTATGGAACCTCACTCCCACGTAAGATGCAACTCCACTGTCTGTAAACAAATACATCTTCCATGGAGAGGGAACTGCTAAGAGCTATGTTATACTGCACACTGCAAATTAATAACTTAGCCTCGTTTATCCTGTGATACCATTTCTGAAACAGGACACAGCAAGAGGTCATCACAATAAGGTGCTGTACTTTTCGAGTCCTAAGAGCAAAGATCAGATGCGCCCTAACCTAGATGAAGTGGGACTGCCAATAGGGGGCCTCCTGTTAGTAGTGACACTACCCCATTGACAGGAGTGGTCAGGAAGGAGGAGGAAGCAAGGACATATCTATCTCAGTAGGATATGAGTATTCCTTCCTAATACCTGCACCCTGATGACATTCTATTTCAGAGGCACAGATCCCCGTGTCAAAAGTACCTATTTTTGGTAAGGGTTTCATTCAGCACGAGGTCTTCATAGCGCTGTCGGGCAAAGTTGCCCCCAAACCCCAGGAAGGTCGTGACATAAACCCTATACACATGTTCGGTGTGTTGCACATCACAGCCCAGGTTGAATTCAGCCAGCAGGATCTTTGCTGCTTCTTCCTATAATACAACATAAAGAGAAAAAAGGGAATTTTCATTTTGGTTGATTTACAGAAAGCTATCACAGGCTGCCTTCATTGATAGATTAGAAAGTTTTGGGGGCAGTACAATATGTCTCATTCGCTACACAAAATAGGTGTTTAAAAACTGTCTGCAGCTCTTTTTCCTCTCTATGATAAAACTCATCCCTCAAGATACAAACATTCTTTACATTCTAGTCAGGTAAGGAATATTAGAAGCACAAGAATGGAATCACAAGTAAGGGAAAGGAAATAACATTTAATGAATAAGTATGTATGTATCAAATGTACTCTGGGATTTATATGAATTATCATGTTTAATCTTCAAGCAGCCCCAGGAGACAGGGAGTATAACTGCTAAAATAAGTTAAACATTCAGCACATGTTGGTGAGTTTGTTAAGTGCTTTACATACATGGTGTCATTTTATCTTCCCAACTTCATGAAGTGGATAATATTATTATTCTCTTTTCATATAGGAGGAGATTAAAGCTCAGAGAGGTAACCTACCCAAGATAATGTAAGCTAATGAGTATCTAAACAAATATTTGGACCCATGCAAGTTGGTCTAAGTCTGAAGACAGTGCCCTTCCTTCCCAAATACTGGCATTTCTAGCAACCCAATCTCCCTAAAAGGTAAAATACCTGTTTTGGAGGAAGGACAGAGGCTGAGGTAGGGACTTCATAAGCAATTTGGAGAGAGGCTCCTCCCATATCCAATATCCCTACTGTCCTTCTGCGCCCTATTGCCAATTCCTGGGGAGCCTCGCCATCTGATTCTGAAATAAATAAGGGAACAGAAACAGCCTAGTAATTAAAAAAAATTAAATCAAAAATGAAAAAAAATCAAAATGGAAATCCCTTAGAAAAAGAAGAGCAAACTGAAATAAATTAATCTCATTGTATCATCTATGTACTACAGAGAATTCTTTCAAGTAACAGCATTTTCACTATATCCCTTATAGGATGTATCTTAGTGACAAGAGAAGCAAAAAAAGTATCTTAAACTGCACTGTAGTAGTCTTACGGATAATAATTTTATTGGTATTATTTTTAAGCCATTAAACATGTTATGATATTAGTATGTTTAGGAACAAACATTCAGCATAAAAGAAAAAAACCATAGAAGTATAAAATCAAAGATATAAAGCAATAACCTTATAATTTTTTAAATTAATTTTTAATTTACATCCACTTTAGTTAGCATATAGTGCAATAATGATTTCAGGAGTAGATTATAGTGATTCATCCCCTATCTATACCACCCAGTGCTCATCCCAACAAGTGTCTTCTTTAATGCCCCTTGCCCATTTAGTCCATCCCCCCACCCACCACCCCTCCAGCAACCCTCAGTCTGTTCTCAGTATTTAAGAGTTTCTTATGTTTTGTTCCCCTCCCTGTTTTTATATTATTTTTGCTTCCCTTCCTTTATGTTCATCTGTTTTGTATCTTAAATTCCACATATGTGTGAAGTCATATGATATTTGTCTTTCTCTAATTTCGCTTAGCATAATACACTCTAGTTCTATCCACATTATTGCAAATGGCAAGATTTCATTTTTTTTTTGATTGCTGAGCAATACTCCATTGTATATATATGCCATATCTTCTTTATCCATTCATCCATCAATGGACATTTGGGCTCTTTCCATACTTTGGCTACTGTCGATAGCACTGCTATAAACATTGGGGTGCATGTGTCCCTTTGAAAGAACACACCTATATCCCCTGGATATATACCTAGTAGTGTGATTGCTGGGTCGTATGGTAGTTCTATTTTTTAACTTTTTGAGGAACCTCCATACTGTTTTCCAGAGTGGCTGCACCAGTGTGCATTCCTACCAGCAGTGCAAAAGAGTTCCTCTTTTTCCACATCCTTGTCAACAACTGTTGTTGTCTGAGTTGTTGATTTTAGCCATTCTGACCGGTGTGAGGTGGCATCTCATCGTGGTTTTGATTTGTACTGCCCTGATGATAAGTGATATTGAGAATTTTTTTATGTGTCTGTTACCATCTGTATGTCTTGTGAAAAGTTTCTATTCACGTCTTTTGCCTATGTCTTCACTGGATTATTTGTTTTTTGAGTGTTGAGTTTGCTAAGTTCTTTATAGATTTTGAATACTAACCCTTTATCTAATATGTCATCTGCAAATATCTTCTTCCGTTCCATCAGTTGCCTTTTAGTTTTGCAGATTGTTTCCTTCACTGTGCAGGAGCTTTTTATTTTTATGAGGTCCCAATAGTTCATTTTTGCTTTCGTTTCCTTTGCCTCTGGAGAAGTGTTAAGTAGTTGCTGCACCCAAGGTTAAAGAGGTTTTTGCCTGCTTTCTCCTTTAGGATTTTGATGGCTTTCTGTACTACATTTAAGTCTTTCATCCATTTTGAGTTTATTTTTGTGTATGGTGTAAGAAAGTGGTCCAGCTTCATTTTTCTGCATGTCGCTGTCCAGTTCTCCCAACACCCTTTGCTGAAGAGACTGTCTTTATTCCATTGGATGTTCTTTCCTACTTAATCAAAGATTAGTTGGCCATACATTTGTGGGTCCATTTCTGGGTTCTCTATTCTGTTCCACTGATCTAAGTGTCTGTTTTTGTGCCAGTATCATACTGTCTTGATGATTACAGCTTTGTCATACATCTTAAAGTCCAGGAGTGTGATGCCTCCAGCTTTGGTTACCTTTTTCAGGATTGCTTTGGCTATTCGGGGTCTTTTCTGGTTCTAAACAAACTTTGGGATTGTTTTAGCTCTGTGAAGAATGCTGGTGTTATTTTGATAGGGATTGCATTGAATATGTAGATTGCTTTGGGTAGTATGGTCATTTTAACAATATTTGTTCTTCCAATCCATGAGCATGGAATATTTTTCAATTTTGGGGGGTCTTCTTCAATTTCGGGGGGGTCTTCTTCAATTTCTTTCATAAGTTTTCTACAGTTTTCAGTGTACAGATTTTTTACCTCTTTGTATAACCTTATAATCTTAAATATGAATTGGAACTATCACTATGAAATCATTATTTCTTTTTCTCTTTCTAAATATACTATTTTCTAGCTCTGTCCACTGAAAGGGCCTCAAAGCAAGGATAATCTAGGAGCAATAAATACTCCTGGCATCCATGGGCTCTAAATATCATTTTCTAATAAAAGCAACCAGGGCTCCTTAAAAAATGTCTGATGCTGGATCTAAGGTAGAAAAAATACAAGACAAACCTGGAATATAACTTAGTGTGCCAAAAAGCAAGGGAAATGTATAATTTGAGTACTGAAAAGAATGATGATGTGATGGACTACAATGCATCAAACACTTAAAATCTACAAATTCATAATGATATTGAAAAAAAAAACTTCACTAGTTACCTTTGGAAATTGCTAGGACATCAACTCATTATTCAAAAACTTGATAAATAAAAGGAAAGAATGAAAGATTTATTCTGTCTTTCTATTAAGAACTGTATTCCAGGATACTCAAATAGTTAATGAAGAAAATTTTGCTATATAAAAACCCCAGATGTTATATGCAGAAGAAATGAAGAATTAGAAAAATAACTATTTTGCAACCTCTAATGAAAAATGGATCTAAATAACAATCACAGTTGGCTACTATAACTTTTAAGTGAAAAGTAGCTGGAGAATTTTTATTATAGATTAGATCAGGCTGACAATACCTGAACCCTGAATACCTGATCAGTCTTAACGTGACTAAAAATGGGACAACCAGACATTATAAAACTTCTGATGTGATGTAGTAGGAAACAGTGCCAATTTATTTATTTATTATTTATTCTTGCCAAAAGAACTGAATCTGTGTCTAATCAGGCTTCTATATCTAATCTCCAATTTATAGGACATAAGGAGGGATGTGAAACATGTTTAAGACCCCACAAAAATTCAGTCAATCAAATCAAGAATGTGGCAAATTCATTCTATCAAGTGAGCCAGTTTTGTTTTGTTTTTGTTTTTTTAATGAATGATTTGAGGAAAAGAGGTGGGAGGGGGGAAGCTGTTACAGATTAAGAAATTTATCAATCAAATGTAATTGTGATCCTTGTTCAGATTCTGATTTTAACAAGACAACTACATGTAAATGTTCTTGACACAATAAAGGAAGTCTCTACCTGGGTATTAGATAGATGTTACATGGTATTAGAAATTGTTAACTTTTTAAAATTTAAGAATGGCATTGTAGATATTTCATTTGTTTTGAAGCTCCTCATTGGTGAGAGATATACATTAAAGTACAGGAAGATAAAATGGGGTTGTCTGGGGTTTAGTTTTAAAAATCCAAAAGGAGGGGTGCCTGGGTGGCTTGGTCAGTTGAGCGTCCAACTCTGGCTCAGGTCATGGTCTCATGGTTTGTGGATTCAAGCCCCACGTCGGGCTCTTTCCTGACACCTCGGAGCCTGGAGACTGCTTCAGATTCTGTGTCTCCCTCTCTCTCTGCCCCTTCCCCACTTGCATGTGCGTGCTCTCTCTCTCTCTCTCTCAAAAATGAATAAACATTTAAAAAAATCCAAAAGGAAAAAAATCTGTGTTGTATGGAGGCAGGGTGGGGCCAAAAAACTGACCAACCACTAATTAGTGTTGATACTGAGTAATGGATTCATGGAGATTCATTTAATTATTTTTTCTACTTCTGTAAATGTTTGTAACTTTCCATATTAAAAAGTTAGAAAGAAACAAAAAGGCAAAGTAGGACTGGAAAATGAAGCATCTTTAGTTAAAAAAAAAAAAAAAAGAAGAAAACAACTCAAATGTGGCACTTACATTATACTGATAGGTTACAATATAAACCTTCATTCAGTCCTTAGAACTGTCTTAAGATAACAATGTTACTCACCATCCTCATGGTCGAACCTTCCCAAAACAAAGTTGATTCCAATCCATGCATAAACTCCTAAGTAAGAGACATAAAAGCCCTTGCTTAATTCTCTGTTTCTATGCCATGTATATACCTCTCCCAGTGCTGCTCTTTCTTCATTTTCTTAGAAAAAAGTGATGATAGTATTTTATTCCACACTCTTAGTGTATGAATTTAAAATCTCTTATCTTGTGATGCTTTTTCCTTTTAAAATGATTCGCATTTTCTAAATCAATGTGTAAAAACAAATGTAAAAAAACGTGCATTTTGGAGTTCTGGCTCTGGGCAAGAGGAAGTAAGCACATTCTACCCTGTCACCCCACCGAACACAGTGCAAACTCTGGACAGAATGTATGGAGATGTGTGAGAGCTCTGGAAGGAAATAATAAGAGGCACACTGAGTCAGAGATCAGAAATTAAAGTACCACCAAACCTGTAGCAAGTGTCCCATTTTTCCCCCTTAGATATTGCTTGGCCGGTACTCAAAAGCAGCTTGAAACACAAAAGGAAATCCAGGTGTGGAGAGAAAGAACTTCAAGACCTTGCTTTCTGGTCTAAGGAGCATTAAAAGGGACTCCGAAGGCTCCAAAAGAATGGAGGAAAATCCCTTGGGTTTTTTTTCCCCTTTACTTTGTTCTCTGCTACCAGACAAGCCTGCAGCAGTGAAAGTAGAAGTTGGGCAGGTGCCTAAAACTCTGAAGGATATGAATCTACTCCAAAAGAGGAACTATGGCCTCAAAAGTTGAAGAAAATCCTTACTGCTGATTTTTCTCCCTATCCTCCACCATTTAGCCCTGGATGCAGATGCAATCGTGGGAAATGTATGGCAGAGTAGGCAAATTAAAGCCCTGGCTTAATGACTGGAGGACCATGAAAGTGAGCCCCAGGGAACCAAAAAATGTTGGGGAGAACACAGAGAGTAAGGAATAAAGCGGTACATGAACTCCTGGGCTCACGGTCAAGCTACACATGTACGGCTCTCACTCTAAACAATATACCAAATGTTCTGAGAACTGTACTGGGTAGACACCCCATTTGTATGGACTATGCATACAGATGGTTTCAGAGTGACCACTGGGTGACAAACAAATGGGACAAAACAAAATAGCAGTGGCAAGGCTTTGAAAAATGAATCAGTACAATCACAGAAGGCAGGTCAGAACTTGAGGCATGAACCTAACCAGGTCAACTCCCTGCTAAACAAACAAAAATCAATATTTGCCTTATGACTGACACAAGGCCCGGAGTCTCATAATATAACATTCAAAATACCCAGGATACAATATAAAATTATTTAACATGAAAAGAACTAGGAAAATCTCAACTCCTAAGGGAAGAGATGCCAACCCCAAGATGACACAGATGTCAGAATTACCAGACAGAGATATTAAAGCAGCTATATAACCAAGAAATACAAGCAGTCTTACAATGAACGGAAAGATAGAAAGTCTCGGCAAAGAAAGAGAATACAAAAAAAGAAACAAATGAAAATTTTAGAACCAGAGAATGCAATACTGAACTTGAAAAGGTAAACCTTTTCCCTTATGTGAACTGCAACTAGAATGCATAGATTTTCTCTTTTTCAAGAAATGGAAACATAATTTGTCATATAGGTCACATTTGGGCCACATGAGAACATACATTCAACTACACCCCAAAACTGCAAACCCAGTAGTGCAAGCTTTTAAGGAAGTACTGGTACTGCATAATAAATCCAGTAAAGGGTGGGTGCTTGCATAACACAGTTTGTTAAGCACCTGACTCTTGAATTCAGTTCAGGTCATGGTCTCACGATGGTGAGATGGATCCCTGAGTCGGGCTCTGCACTGAGCATGGGGCCTGCTTGGGATTCTCTCTCCCCCTCTCTTTCTGTTCTTCCCCTGCTCACTCCCTCTCCCTCAAAATAAATAAATCTTTAAAAAATAAATGCAATGAAAGGAGAGCCCATAACAAAAGAAAAGTAAGTAATGATCACCCTGATCCTCCCCTATTAAAGTTTCCCCTTACTTTAATTTACATCTAAATTTGGTAAACTCAGTACAACTCCTGGAAGTATGTGTGTTTTCAAAACTACAATTAGCTAAGCTAATCAAATACCCACTTGGAATCATCACTAAATACTAATATATTCTTTTTTTTTTTTTTTAATGTTTTATTTATTTCTAGGAGAGAGAGAGAGAGAGAGACAGCGTGAGCAGGGGAGGGTCAGAGAGAGAGGGAATCAAAGACTCTGAAACAGGCTCCAGGCTCTGAGCTGGCAGTCAGCACAGAGCCCGACGCGGGGCTCAAACCCACAGACCGCGAGATCATGACTTAAGCAAAAGTCGGACGCTTAACCGACTAAGCCACCCAGGCGCCCCCTAATATATTCTTTTAAGCACAGTACTTAGCACAAAGTTAAACATATAAACATATGAACATATAAACATATAAACATATGACTTCTAGAAGCAGCAATCTAAAACAGATACCAATGCAAAATACGCAAATAATAAAAAAAAACATATAACAGAATCAAGAAAATTACTCAGAGAAAAATGAAAATCAAATACATAAAGCAATCCTAACCCCGCCCCCAGCAGAGAGACTATGCCATCGTTGAGCTGAAGCAGTATACCCCTCAAGGCCCAGTACCTTCCTGCTTCCCAGAGATCACTTCTGCCTGAGACTGTGAAAAGAGGAAGTCAAACTCCAGTGGTAAATCTCTCACCAGATCAGCCAAGATAGCCAGCTGCTTTCTGCAAGAAAGAACAAAAAATATAAAAGTTAATTGTTAAACACTCTTCTCACGATTAGCTTCAACTTGACCTTCTACTCAAACTTGTTATGACCTCACTATTCATGTAGTCCATTCACTAGTTGAGCCCTGTTTCTTTTTGGTACTTCTCATGATTTTAAAAGTTTAAATTGCCTCCAAAGTATATCTTTCCACTTAAAAGGCAATATGATACTAGTAATACTTTTCCTTTGCATAACTTTATAATTCAAATAGTATTAAAAGATGAAACTATATTTCTGTGCCTCTCACAAGGCTGTGGCAGGAAGCACAGTTTCATAATTGCATGATTTGTAATTACTATGAAAGGAAGCTGTCAGACTATGGAACCCAATCTTATCCTCAGATCTTACACCATACAGAAACAACACCTCATATTACCACACAACACACGCTGTTAGGTCCACAAACTTTTAATAATCCTTTGCAAAGCTGACAATGAACTTTTTAATCTCCTTTTATATATTTCAAGGGTTGGGGTTTTTTTTTCTTTATAAAAATCTTATCATTTGGAAAACCCAGACCAAGATTAAAATCCAAAGGTTATAACGATTTGGGGACAAAATTTGAATCTTGGTATCTAGGGTTATTTTCTCCTCTAGAGTTTTATGCTATCAGTATTATTAATAAAAGCAAAGAAACAAAGCTAGAAGTAATAATATGAATCTAGAGAAAGTGGTTAAAAACTAGAGCAACTATCCTGAATTTTTAAAATTACTCATCACAATCATATTCTATTGGCTCAGATAGTAGTCAGTATTACTTAGTGAAGAATGATAACACTTAAAAGTAAAGAATACATTTAAAATAATAATTTTCTTTCAGCTCAGGTCATGATCTTATGGTTGTGAGATCGAGCCCCACATCAGGCTCTGCACTGAGCATAGAGTCTACTTGGGATTCTCTCTACCTCTTTTCTCTACCTCTCCCAGCTCATGCATGCTCACATGATCTCTCTCTCTCCTTCTCTCTCAAATAAATACACATTTTAGGAAAAATAAAGTCATAATTTTCCAATATACTGTCAAATACAGTTTCTAAAAAAGCTCGTTGTTATAAATATTAAATTCTTACAAAAAGAATTTTACATGGGGAACAAGAGGGATTATTTTGCCCTCCCTGTTGGATATGCTTCCAACTGGATAGTTGCTTAAAATGACCAAAGAGGGCTTGCTGATTCTGGGGACAATATGAAAAAAAAGGGCACCCACATACACTGCTGTTTGGAATGTAAATTACTGCTATGATCTCTCTCTTTTTTTTCTTTTTTTTTTTGGTAGGCTTCATGCCCAATGTGGGGCTTGAACTCATGACACTGGGATCAAGAGTCAATGCTCTACCAACTGAGCCACCTAGGTGCCCCACTGTATGATCTTTCTAAGAGCAATCTAGGACTTTATATCCAAATTTTTAATGTGCTTAACTTTTGACCAGCTATTCCACTTTTAAAAATTTATTGCATGCTGAGAAACAAACTGAGGACAGATGGATGTGGGGGGAGGGGGGAGACGGGCATGGAGGAGGGCACTTGTGGGGATGAGCACTGGGTGTTATATGGAAACCAATTTGACAATAAACTATTTGTAAAAAAAAAAAAATTTATTGCAAGTAAATCATCAGATAAGAATACAAAAAGGAAGTGAATACTGCAGCATTTATAACAATGAAAAAGTGACAACCTGTTAACTAATCTATGCCATATCCATATAATGTAATATGAGACAGATGTTAAAAGAAATGAGGTCGATTTATACTCTATATGTAGTGACATGAAAAGATGTCCAATATATTCTGAGTTCTAATAGGTTATGAAACAGTACATACAATATGATCCCAACTTCTACTGAACAATAAAACCAAAAAAATCATATACTACACAGAACTTTTGTTCTCTAAAATTCAACAGTTTTTTTAAAATTAATTTTAATGTTTATTTATTATTTGGAGAGGCAGAGAGAGAGAGAGTGCAGAGGAGGGGCAGAGAGAGAAACATAATCCAAAGCAGGCTCCAGGCTGTCAGCATGGGTCTTGAACCCACAGACGGTGACATGACCTGAACCCGAATCAGCTGCTTAAAAGACTGAACCATCGAGGTGCCCCAACATTGTTTCTTTATTTAAAAAAGAAAAACAACTTTCCATGGTACCCAGGTAGCTCATTAAGCATCTGACTCTTGGTTTCAGCTCAGGTCATGATCTCAATGTTTATGAGTTCAAGCCCTGCATCAGGCTGTGTGCTCACAACACAGAGCCTGCTTGGAATTCTCTCTCTCCCTCTCTCTGCCCCTCCCCAACTCACATTGTCTCTCTCTCTCTCTCAAAATAAATAAATAAATTTAAAAACAAACAAACAAAAACAAAAAACTTTCAGTGGCAAAATGGTAATAACTGTTGAAGCTGGGGACTGAGAAAACAAGGATTCGTTATGCTGTTCTATTTTTATGTTTGAAATTTCCCATAACAAAAGGTTCTTTTTTTCCCTAAGTGCTGCCTTGTACTACCTTTGTAATTTTTATTTTATTTTATTTATTTATTTATTAATGTTTATTTCTGAGAGAGAGAGAGAGAGAGCGTGAGCAGGGGAGGGTCAGAGAGAGAGGGAGACACAGAATCTGAAGCAGGCTCCAGGCTATGAGCTAGCTGTCAGCACAAAGCCAAATGCGGAGCTCGAACCCACGAACCGTGAGATCATGACCTGAGCCGAAGTTGGACGCTTAACCAACTAAGCCACCCAGGTGCCCCAACCATTACAAAATGAAAAAGAGGTAAAACAAACTGTTAGTCTAGGTCTTTGAAAAAGAAATAAAACCTAGTGATAATACATTTCAATATACAGTCTAGGTGATTTAAACCCATTTTTTAAAAAAATGTTTTTTTATTTATTTCTGAGAGTGAGAGAGACAGCTTAAGTAGGGGAGGGTGAGAGAGAGAGGGAGACACAGAATCCAAAACAGGCTCCAGGCTCTGAGCTGGCTGTCAGCACAGAGCCCAACACGAGGCTCGAACCCACGAACCATGAGATCATGACCTGAGCCGAAGTCAGACGCCCAACTGACTGAGCCACCCAGGCGACCCTTAAACCCATTTTGAATACTGCTCACAAATGCTAATAAATTAGCAAAGCATTAATTATACAAAACAGGTTCTTACAGTGATGGTTATATGTATGTCAACAACTACAGCTGCCTCAAGAGGTAACAATGATTCCATAAGCCCAGGATAAATTGCATTATTTAGAAGAGGTGATCAGAAGATGAATTAAAAGGCAAGCTCTTTACAAATTCTTAAGATAAAAGATATATAAATATTCAGAGCTTCCATGCGGACAGTGAACATCTTAGACAAAAGGAATGGAGTTACGTAGTGGGTTTTGTCTGGATAGAAACTTCTTTGACAAACATTATCAATGCTGAGTGACATCAAGAGATAAGATAATTCTTTCTTTTGCTCCAGACCCACAAAACATGGCCAAACCATCACCCTCCTGGTTGGCTCTGCCTTTGTGACTTCCACATCAGCGTTTTCTCTGGCCTTCATCCCCTTCCTTGGTGTGGATCTCAGACCACTCGCAGGTCTGCGATGTGGCACTCACTGTGTCACCTATACTCTTCCCAGGGTTTCTAAATCTTGAACTATATGATTATTACTTTATGTCAAAACCAAAAATTCTAAATTACATGTGCAGTATGGTTACAACATTGTAGAAATGACAGATAGATGTACAGAGAGAAAGGAATATGACAAAATGAAACATTTTCAATAGGGCAATAGGGATATAAGTTTGTTGTTATTGTTTTTCCTTTAATGCAACTATAATATTTTAAAATCTGGTTTTAAAATTAAAAAATACAAAAAAAATTTGAGTGATAGCATCCATGAGTGGGTGAGAAGGGCAGAGGGAAAGAGAGAGAGACAAAACCCCAAGCAGGCCCCACGCTGAGCACAAAGCCTGATGCAAGCTCAATCCCACAACCCTAGGATCATGACCTGAGCTGAAATTAAGAATTGGACACTCAACTGACTGAGCCACCCAGCCACTCCGAAAACAGAACAAAAAATTTTTAAGTTTATTTATTTATTTAGAGAGGGAGAGTGCAAGCAGCGGAAGGGCAGAGAGAGAGAGAGAGAGAGAGAGAGAGAGAGGGAATCCCAAGCAGGATCCATGCTGTCAGCACAGAGCCCAACACGGGGCTGAACAGCATGAACCATGAGATCATGACCTGAGCCAAAATCAAGAGTCAGCCGCTTAATCTACTGGGCCACCCAGGCACCCTAAAACAAAAAATTTTTAAAGGTCAAGATATACAAGAAAATAGGGCCTAAAAGGCCTCTCATTTCAATGAATGGCTATATAAAATAATCTGCTTCTCCACAGTAGACAAGATAGTAAACCAGTAATTTGTGTCTAAAGAGAAGGAAAGAAGCCCAATGAAAGAACTGTGGACTGGGGCGCCTGGGTGGCTTAGTCGGTTAAGCGTCCGACTTTCGCTTAGGTCATGATCTCGCGGTTCGTGGGTTCGAGCCCCGCGTTGGGCTCTGTGCTGACTGCCAGCTCAGAGCCTGGAGCCTGTTTCAGTCTGTGACTCCCTCTCTCTCTGACCCTCCCCTGCTCACGCTGTCTCTCTCTCTCTCTCCTAGAAATAAATAAAACATTTAAAAAAAAAAAAAAAGAACTGTGGACATATGTTATATTGCCTGGCACCTCTGGCATAAGCAGCACAAAGCCCTACATACATAGCCAAGCTATGTATGTCACTGGCCAAGAATACAAAATAAAACTTTCTGGAAAAGGGAACTGTTATTTACCAAGAAAAAAATATTTAAGCTAATAAAAATACTTGATGCCTATGAGACTTTGAACATTCCAAAAGGATGAATTCAAAAGTTAAGTGAGATCACTCCCACCCCATGACCATAAGTGTGAAGGGGCCGGGAAGTATCAAAGGGTAGAAATTACAAACAAGAAGGGATCTGACCTAAGTACAGCCACTGCCTCTTCCTCCTCTTTCTCCTCTCCTTCAAGAGAAGGAAGGAGAATTGGGTGGTAAGATACTGGGCTAAATTGCCAAGGTCAAGTGGGAGAGACTTGACTGGATGAAACTGAAAAACTAGTCTAAAACAATGGAGACTGAGCTTCTCAAGCAGCACCGTCACCAGGCAGTTATGGAGAGAGTGGCATTCCTATGGGCCCCCAGGTACCCAGTTGCTCCGGTGAACCTCCTACGACCCTTCTGTTACCTATGCTCCCCTTCTAGTGATCTAAATTTGTCACCACCACCACTGCTTATCAGTCAGAACTAAGAATCATTACAGCCATCAGAGATAGATACTGATCCCAAAGAAGCAAATGACATGAAGCTCTGAACAGACTATGAAATAACTACATGCAGGGGTGGCTCTGCTCTATTTTGAGCAAGGAGTCTTCCAGTGCCACCTGTCAGCTCTGCATAGTGCACCCACAGTCCCCCTTCAGACCAGGGAACTACAAAGAATAATATGTGGAATCAGCCTGGCAATTCTTGTGCCACCCATTCTCCCATGTTCCTCAGACCCCGCATCTCACCTCTCAGGGAGAAGCCTCATGCCTGCTGTGCACAGGATGTAAAGGGGGGTCTCCTTGTGCTTCTTCACAGGCACATGAGCTGCAGCAAAGCTCAGCAGAGGACGAAGGTAATCACTGGCATGTTCTGGAGTGTCAGCCATTGCAGAGATTCCTTAAGTAAGACAAAATACTTTAAAAAGCAGATCACGTGGACTCAGAAGACTGATATCTATAAAGTTCTGCTTAAAGTCTTAAACGCTTATTATTTGAGAGGATGGGAACAGCAATGAATGAGATCTCTCCTATTCTCCAGAATCTAAAGACAAAAAGGGTAGCTTTCTTTTTGCCTCTTCTCTTCTCTCCTCTGTCATGCCTGCAGCAGGTAAAGAGACTGACAACAAAACACATCCCGAATAGTACCTGGCTTGATTTTTTTAACCACTGGTTGGCTATTGCGGTCTCTCATCTGTTTGATGTCCAGCAAATCATGGGGGTTGCCATTATGTCTTGGCCAGAAATAAACAAAAATCCGGGAGCCACTGCTGCCACAATCCACAACAAGTCCGTAATTTAGAGTTGGGTCTTCAGTGTCAGTTGCTTCAAGGTCCCCTACTCGAGCCAAATACCTGAGCCAGGCAAAAAGAGAAATTGGGGTCAAGGAGTCCACCTGTGCCAGCCACATGGAACCACAGGACACGAAACAACACTAACAACATAGTTAGCGATGTACATAGATAAGGCAACAGCTGGTTTACTTGCCGAGAGCCACTGAAATGGCCGTGGGGGCAGTTATGAAACTGGCTGGGATACCAGATCTTTTTTTTTTTTTTTAATTATTTTTTTTAAAATTTACATCCAAGTTAGTTAGCAAATAGTGCAACAATGATTTCAGGAGTAGATTCCTTAATGCCCCTTACCCATGTAGCCCATCCCCCCTCCCACAACCCCTCCAGCAACTATTTGTTCTCCATATTTAAGAGTCTCTTATGTGTTGTCCCCCTCCCTGTTTTTATATTATTTTTGTTTCCCTTCCCTCATGCTCATCTGTTTTGTATCTTAAAGTCCTCATATGAGTGAAGTCATATGATATTTGTCTTTCTCTGACTAATTTCATTTAGCCTAATACCCTCTAGCTCCATCTACACAGTTGCAAATGGCAAGATTTTATTCTTTTTGATTGCTGAGTAATACTCCATTGTATATATATACATACCACATCTTCTTTATGGGATACAAATCTTTTACCAACTTTAAACAACTTGCAGGCCTGAGTAAATACCTATTTTTTATTGTTATAAGCCACTAAGATATGGGGCAGTTTGTTATACACACTAGTTAACTAAAACAATCCTAAGAATTTCTCTTTTATCTCTCTATCCTTTCTGTATATAAACATTAAGAATACTTTGGAATGATTATCACTTACTATGTGTTTCTGGATGGTCGTATTTATGGGGCTTTTCGCTTTATACTTTTTACTGCTAGAATTGCATTAATAAAAAATGTATTTCATAAACACCGTAGTTATTCTTCTCTATAATCTTTTCAAGTATTTTATGGTCATAAAAAGAATGCTTATAAAATATGTATAAATAACAATAAAACAATGCCTCTGTACCCAACACCCAGTCTAAAAAATAAAACATTACACTGCTTAAAAAAAAAAAAAAAGCAAAGCTTCTAGGCCCTAGGACATTAGTACTTTCTGTTGGAATTTTTTTCAGATTCTCATTGTAAGATATTTCTTTGGCAGACAACAGGAAGATGAAACAAGTAAGATGATACCATCAAAACACCAATGTCTGAGTCTCAGCTCTAGCACTTTCTATGCTGTGTGACCTTCAACAAGTTACCTAACTTCTCTCAGACTATTTTCTCATCTGTAAAATAAGGATGCCGAGTCTCCACCCTCAGACAGACAATGTATGCTGAGTGGTTAACACAGCACTGTGCTACTGCCACTGCCCTTACTGTTATGTGGTAATTGTGAAAGCAAATAATAGACGACTATCTGGCGAAAAGGGCTGAAAAGTCCAGAAGAAAAGAAGGCTAAGAGTCAGTAAAATGCCCCTGAGTCTGAGGCTTTAATAAACATTAAAGTTCACCTTAGAGTCTGAAAAGTACAAACATTGCTAACTTCTCTTGGAAGACTTCACTTGAAGAGAAGCTCAGTGAGAATGGCTTAATTTTAACTTACTATATGGAAAGAGTTTTTTATTGGTGCTAAGAATATATACTACATGGTAAACAGATTAAAACGTTGTCCTGTAAAATCTTTTAAATTTGATTAAGTATCACTATAGGTTGAGCTAATAGTTGAATATTATTTTGCTCTGAAAGCAATGATGTCAAGTTTTCCAAGTATCACCACTAAACTCCCTTATACCTGCCCTAATCATCCAAAATTGTATTTAGACCTAATTCCCCCTAGACCCTTACACAGAACCCCTCAGAACTAGGTTTTGTGAAGCCTGAAACTAATGCCATTAGATAGTTTTTTTGTTCTGTTTTGTTTTTAAGAAAGATTCAACATTACAAATACAAAAGGGTCCTATACGTGTAGAGAGCCCTGAAGGCATCATTAGCTCTTCAGTAAATCCACCTCTGATCAGAGGGGTGGGAATAAGCCACATTCCCACCCCTCGCAATAATCTAGCCCATGTTTACTGGTGATTTGACATTGCTATGCAGACCACAAAGTTCCCTACTTTGGACAGAAAAGTAAACCTTGATGAACGGATGAGCATATAATCAGTTCTGAAATTAAAAAGTAGAGTTAAGTACCTTTCCTACTGTACAATACAAAATAAGGGTAGATCATATATTTGAGCTCCAGTATCATGCTGTAAATGATTACATAGGATAGGGTCAGGCAGAACTTTATTCTGGATCCAATATGAGAAGGAGTTATGGGAAATGAAGCAGGTGGTAAGAAATCTGTTACACTCTAGCAAGTTTATAGTCCTAAAGACTGTTTCACCACATACTTTCCCATTCTAATCAAATTACTGGGCTGTGGGGCGCCTGGGTGGCTTAGTCGGTTAAGCGTCCGACTTTCGCTTAGGTCATGATCTCACGGTTCGTGGGTTCGAGCCCCGCGTTGGGCTCTGTGCTGACTGCCAGCTCAGAGCCTAGAGCCTGTTCCAGAGTCTGTGACTCCCTCTCTCTCTCTGACCCTCCCCTGCTCATGCTGTCTCTCTCTCTCTCTCTCTCTCTCCTAGAAATAAATAAAACATTAAAAAAAATTACTGGGCTGAACTGGGCTTATGATCCACAAATCAACTCATAATAGCTCACTTCTATCTCATGGAAGCTGGGAAGAAATCTGGGTTCAAGTTATAGAACTCTTGCAAATACTGACCTCACGTAAGATAATTCATCTCTAGCCCAAAGTAACTTTTCCTTTCTTATCCTTGCAATCTTTCTACTTCACCCCCTTCACAGATCTCTCTCTGATTTCCCTCTCTCAAAACCTTCCCCTCTACTTTTCTGACTATATTCTAGACCCCATTCCCTCCTGCTTAATGAATAACTTTTCTCCAGTACACTGGTTCTCAAACTTGTAGGGCTCAGGACCCCCTTTTATATTCTTAAAAATTACTGGATGCAAAAGAGCTTTTGTATACGTGGGTTACATCTATTTATATTTATCATGTTAGAAAACAAAACAGAAAAATTTTTAATATTTGCTTATTTAAATATAACAATGAACTCTTTACATGTTAATATATTTTATAAAAATAACTATTTTTAAAAATAAAAACATAGAAGAGTGGCATTGTTTCATGGTTTTGCAAATCTCTTGTGTGTGGATTAATAGAACACAGCTAGACTCTCATACTTGCCTCTATTCAATGTTACAATATGTTGTTTTGATTGAAGTATATGAAAAAAAAAAACAAAGCAAAACATGTTGTTGGAAAAGGGAATATTTGAATAGCCCGTTTAGAATCTTCTTGGATACTATACTAAATCTCAACAAGTAGAGTTTCTTAAAGGTTAACTGCAATGTGAAGTCTATAACCCTATCTAAGAATGTTTCATACTTTATAACATTAACCATTAGTCTATCTTGCACTTTGAATGACTTTTTCCCCTGCGCAATTCTGTAACATCCTATACTGGGAAATACTGGTTCACTGAGCTATGCAAATCTTTCTAACACTGACACATTTCATTCTACAATGTTAAACACACACACACACACATACACACACACACACACACTAATATCACTACCAATATTACTTTTTAAAAAGTCTTTTTGGGTGGGGGGATGGGCTAAGTGGGTAAGGGGCATTAAGGAAGACACATGTTAGGGATGAGCACTGGGCATTTATACATAGGGGATGAATCACTGGAATTTATTCCTGAAAACATTTTTGCACTATAAGCTAACCTAACTTGGATGTAACTTTAAGGGGGGGGAAAAAAAAGTCTCTTGAGTATTGAGAAGCTGGCAGACTCATAGTGGCAGATACAAATGTTCCAAACTGCTAATTTCCACTTGAAAGCTCAAATGTTATCACTGTCAATAAAAACTAACAGTTGTCTTCCTTAAAGTGACAGGCTTTTACCTCACTCATTTTTCAGGAAGAGGTCTATGAAATATCCAAGTCTGAAAACCATAGTTTTTCTGGCCTTCTTTCAAGTAAGAATAATATTCTGTGATAAGAGCAACTAGGTTTAGCTCATACCCCCAAACAATTGCCTAAGGCCTTTTCCTCAAGACAATTCCAGTGTGCAAGAGAAGTGCTTAACTCACACTTCCAATTTTGTCACACAGAATACAAAAAAGATATTCTTAAACGGAACTGGAATTTTTTCCCATTACAATTGTGTGATGACGACAATTACCATAACTAACAGTGTAATTTGGTGCCTGCATCTTGATTTGTGCCAAGGCGCCTGCAGTCCTCCCTACCCATTGCTTTGCATCACTAGTATAATCAACTCGGTGAAAAGGGCAATAACATCACAATAACCAAGAGGTAGAAGCAAATAAAATATCCACGTACAGATGAATAAATGAACAAAATGTAGTATATACATAAAATGGATATTATACATCAGCCTTAAAAGAGAAGGAAACTTTGTCATACGCTACATATGTGTGAACCTTGAGGATATCATGCTAAGTAAAATAAGCCAGTCACAAAAAGACAAAGATTGTGGGTTCCACTCATATGAGAGATGTGAAGTAGCCACGTTCATCAAAACAGAAAACAGAATAGCGGTTACCGGAGTTGGCTCAGGGAGGGAAAAAAGTGGAGTTGTTGTTAAACGGGTAGAGAGTTCAGACTTGCAAGATAAAAAGTTCTGGAGATTGGTCAAATAACAATGTGAATAGGCATAACAATACTGAACTGTATACTTAAAGGTGATTAAAATGGTAAATTTTATGTTATGTGTTTTTTACCAATTAAAAAAGGGGCAAGCAATCCCTACCAAAGTAACACGAGCATTCTTCACAGAGCTGGAACAAACAATCCTAAAATTTGTATGGAACCAGAAAAGTCCCCAAATAGCCAAAGCACTCTTGAAAAAGAAAACCAAAGCTGGAGGCATCACACTCCTGGACTTCAAGATGTATTACAAAACTATAATCATCAAACAGACACTCAGA